AGGAAGAGAGGGAGATAGAGATAGAGAGAGAGAGAGAGCGAGAGAGACGCAGAGAGAGAGAGAGAGAGTGAGTGAGTGAGTGACTGACTGAGTGAGAGAGAGAGAAAGAGCAGTGTTCTGGGTGGAGTAGTAGTAGACCTCCAATTGCCCAGGCAGCATCTACTGCATCGCCGGTCTCAACAACCAAGCAGCGGAGAGTCTTCTGATTGCATTGGAAGTTTCAAGAGAGTCCATTAGTATGAATTTCCGAAGAATTTGTGATGCTAGTCTCCAAGGTTTCCGGCATCTGTAGTTGAACATAAGCCCTGTGTTGGGGTCTGACCGTTAAGGGCCTGTTTGGATTTAAAGTGTAATGCCAGGCTTCGGGTGAAGCCGGATCTTTTAACTCAAAGGTGTTCACCCAAAGCTCAGATCATGCAGACAGTCTTTAGCCTGCCTAGACCCGTTAAGCCCTACGCCCCAAATGCAACCCCAAACCCTAAACATCAAGACTTCTCAATTGAGATGAGTTAAAGCCGGTGAATCTCTAAACCCTGAGCCATAAACCTTGCCCAAACCTTAGTCCCAGAACCTACGCCCGAACCCCTACATACGCCCCAGGATCCCGACACCCTAGACCTCAACCCTAAATCAATAAATCACCCTTTTATAAGTTATGTGGGCGGTTGTCAAAAATTTGGTCCCTTTTTGGGTCCCTAGTATAATACGGCACCTATTATTTGGGGTACCCCAAAAGGGACCTTAATTTTGACAACCACCCATATGTAAGGCTAGTCATCTGTATAATCACTTTCTCCAGACCTCTTCGAGATGTCCTCTAAAGCCTTAAACTTGCCGTTGGTTAGTAGGGAATGGAAGAATGGGGTACAAGTATAACTGCTATTACTACCATTCCTCCGTTCCCTACTAACCAAAGGTAAGTAAACCCTAAACCCCAGGCCCCGAAGCCTAAACCCTGAACCCCAAACCCTAAACCCTGAACCCTAAACCCTAAACCCGGACCAGGGATCCTCTGTGGGACTAAGAGGGCTTTTCGGAACTACGGACTACGGTTGATGTTAATCCAGCATTACCCATAACAAGGAATATACCATAATTCCCATAGTTTAGGGTCCTTAAGGTAATGCAGGATTTATATATCATCAACCGTAGGAGTCTCTTGAGAATCGAAGTACCTCAGGATCCGATCATATGTTGCTCGATATTGGAGGTTTTGGGTTAGGGTTTGTAGACTTAAACCCTAAACCCTAAACCCTAAACCCTAAACCCTAAATTAGGGTTCAGGGCGGTTTGTATGGATTCAGGGTTTAGGGTAATAGGGCCGGTCTAGGGTTTTTTTTGTTTTCCAGCCGATGAGCATCTTCTTTGTTTCTTGTCGGCATTTTGAAGGTGTTTGTGAGGTGGTAGGGTCATAAATTATGGGGTCCTTCATAAGAATCCCACCCCTTAGCTTTCGCCCTGAGATTCCGGTGAGCTGCAATCGCAAGAGACGGAAGACGACACCAAGTCACCCTGCAGATGTCACTGTTTCCTTCTCTTGACCCGCCTTCAACCCCTAAACTTTTATCCCCACCCTGGAATATGGCCCTGAATAGTAGTTAGGATTCCTATTTTCAGGACCCCGAGGTGGCACATCCAAAGCTCTATGAACCCCCAAGCCATTTTGCCCAGACACTGGCGGAGAACTAGAACGACCGGCGCGAACCGGATCATCCATCCTCAACAGTGTACCCGGCTCTTGTCACAATTCTTTGAATGCTTCCAGACCTTCAAGTACCGTCGAGTATTGTCCAAAGCCCTAGGAATCGCTTACGAAACACTCCCGGCCTAAGCACGAAAGATGAACGCTAAACCCTATAAACTGAGCCAGGCAACTTTGCCAGAATCACATGCCCGCTGACCGGAAGCTCCTCATCTCCACCAGCAGATGGTGGTGTTTGTAGACTTCGAGCCATGAAGCCGGTTTGAGTTGAGGGCGGCGGGCTGAGGGCTAAGAATGTAGGGTTTCAGGTTTCACCTAAACTCCATAAGCCCTAAACCCCCAAATCCTAAACCCTCAACCGCTTTGGCTCAAGGGTTTAGTGTCATTGGTTTGGGGTTTGGACCCTGAGCCGTCTCTTCTGCAAGCGGTTCACTCCAAGACCTGGACCCAAGCCTCCAAACGACGGGCTTCATACTGTTGATGGACGAAATCATGCATGACCCTCAGGACTCTAAACTATGGGAACTATGGTATATTCCTTCTAAAGGGTAATGCAGGATTTTGTCCATCAGCAGTAGCAACAGTGCCTTAGGGCTCCCGGTGTATTCAAGAAATGCAGTACAGTTGACAGCTTCGTTTTTTTTGAGGCTTAAGGGTTCCCTGATAGGGCCATTAAAAGCAACCCCTATAGATCCCTTTCAAGGAACCCCTACTACAGACCTTTTGGAATCAATTTTCGCCCAGAGGTTCGCACTTTCGTGATAAGGTTTTTATGCGCGAAGGAAGTGCTTCGGATCCAGAAACTAGCTTTAGCGGCGAAGCCATTCACGCCTAGGCCAGCTAGTAGTGCCCATATCAGCTTATAACTTAAAGGGGGCGTGGGCTCAACCTAGACTAAGCCCGACACCTGACACCTCAAAAAGTGCCTGAAGGTTTAGGGCTAGGCTTTAGGGCTTAGGGTTTGGGTTTTGGGGTTTAATCAATTTATGGTTTGGGTTTTGGTTTTTACAATATAGACTTTACACTTTCTGGCGTAGTGGTTTAGGGCTGACGAACGCCCAGATAGCACCTTCGTGCCCGAGGGCAAGATTTGCTGGCTGGGTAGTTTTCCTCCGCACCCTGGCCGCGCTTGCACGGACTGCTATCAAGGTCGGATAAACTCATACAGTGTCCATGTAACTTTGTTCGAACTATTAGAGACCAGTCTGTAACATCTGAGGCACGTTGTCCTGAATCCAAAAAGGCAGACAACTCAGGTCCACAGTTCAGGGTTTCAGCACACAGCCTCCGTTTCAACATAAAGCCGAAACCCTCTAACTTCAACCCTATAACTTCTGAGCCCAAAGCCCGACCATATTGAATGTTGCCACGGTTGAAGCCGACAAAATCGACAGACAATGCGGAGTTAGGGTTAAGGATTTAAGTTTAGGGCTTACGGCTTGTCCTTGGAGCTCTCATTTCTGAAAGTCACCAGGTCGCTCCGAATCTTTGGGGGACCTGAGCAGTAGTGAACAGTGAGCAGAGCATAAACACCCGGCCCTAAAGCACGAACCTCAATGATTAGTATGTATTTCTGTCATACTGTACCTGTCTCTCTTTCTTTGCTGCATCTATAGGATTGTACACACAAATGTAAGTGTATGTATATATATATATATATATGTTTAGATGTGTAATCATATCTACTACCTATCTATCTATCTATCTATTATCTCTCTATCTATCTGCCTGTCCATCTAACTATCTGTTTATCTACTCTACCTGTCTAGCCTAGTTTGTCTATCTAGACTGTCTACCTAATCTATCTATCTGGCCCGCTCTATGTAGGCTATACAATCTAGCCCACTCTAATCTAACCTAAGCTAGTCTAATGTACTCCTGTAGTTAATCTATCTTCCTAGCCGTATGCGCGCCAGTATGTATCAAAAGCTCTACAGTTGTTTCTAAAGCACACTTATGAAGCCGTTATTGTTTAACAGCAGGTATTTAAGACAATGCAAGGTAGCTGTGGGTCTAGAAAGCCCCACTGAAGCCCTAGACAGTCAATCCTAAGCCCCAAACTCGATCTCCGAGTCCCCAAACCCTGAACCCTAAACCCGCAACCCTAAGTCCTCAGCCCCACATTGAACCCTAAAAAGAGACTCAGGGTTACTGCCAGAGCTGGTGACTTCAACATGAGCGACTCGGAAACTGAGGGCTCGGGGTTTAGGATTTAGGTTTAGGGCTTAGGGTTTAGGATTCAGGATTTGGTATGTGGGGTTTAGGATTTAGGGCTTTCGAGTCTAGGATTTGGGTAGTTTCGGCAGAAGGTTTATTTTGGGTCCGCAAAGGCCTTCTTTTTAAACAGGAGCTTGGAAGGGACCCTAATTTTGAGAGCCCCGATTGAGAACCCGAAACTAAGAGGGCTTAAGGTTTGGGGTTTCGGTTGAGGGTTGAGGAGTTTAGTTCTCCGGGAGATCGGGGTTTAGGATGTGACGTGGTTCGGGTTTAGGGTTTAGGGTTTAGGGATTTTTAATCAACTGGTCAAGCCCTAAGCCGCCAAGATATGTTCGTACGCTCCGTAGTAGGTGCTGCCAGTCAGACGTCTTATGGAGAATACTGCAGCTGTTAGAGACGTAACGAAACAGGCCTGCTTCCTGAACCTGATCCCCACGCCCTGAGCACGGAGGCTCCCGATTTCTGGGGTTGAGGGTGTAGGGTTTCTTTGTGCTGCCGGTGCGAGGGCGCATTCCTTTTTGCTGCGGGTGCGGGGCGCGTTCTTTGCTTTGCTGCGGGTGCGCGGGCACGCTCTTCCTTGTTGCCGAGCGTGTTGGGTGCTCCGCAGAAAGGTGCCCCGCACACACAGCAGCAAGAAGCAGCGGGCTCACGCACCGACAGCACATGAAAAGGCGCCCACACACCCGCAGCAGAAAAGCGCCAAATAGCCTCCACAAGAAGAAATAAACGCTCTTCATTGCCGAGGAACATTGCACTGAACCTAACTCCTAATAAGGGACCCTGCATAAAGGGTGAAAGAGGTTAGGGCCTAGGGGGGAATCGTTTTCATGTCCCAAGTCTGCAGAGGTTCAGGTTTTGGGGTCGAGGGTTCAGGTACGGGATACCGGAGTCCTTGACTCAGTAGCTGAGTGGATACACTTTACACTTTTTGAGATAATAGTACCCACTATAAAGCTGAAAGTGTACACTTTAGGGGGCTTATGAACTCGGCAACTAAGTTGAGACTGCTGAACAGACGAGATTCTTCTTACGACGGCCAGGAAACGACAACTTCGTGTTCCAAGCCAATAGCCTCTTCCAGATGCAGAGCAGCCCGTCGATAAAGCTCCAAAACTCCCTTTCTTCAGAATGTTTAAAGTAAAAGTCAGAAAGATGGAATATGATTATCTTAAGCCCTTTATGGTAAATTATAGGGTATCCTACCCTGAAACCATATTCCAACTTTCTGGAGTTCTCTTTATGGTCCTGAAGTTAGGAATGGCCTTGCCAGGTTTGGGTAGTTGCATCAGCCCCGCCCAACTCTAGTCCAACTTATCCCCAGACACTTCATTACCATTTAGAACTTATCCCAACATAGCCCCATAAATCATAACGAATAGCCCAATATCCCCAAAAACAAATAGCCACGGTGTACAGAATTTGCTCACTTTCAGGTGGTGTAACCCCATTAAATGCTATGATATATCCCCAAACCTCATTCGCATCAACTACTCTACAATATCCGCCAAACCCTCATTACCATTGTTAAGGCGCCTACATTACGCAACTCCCTAATATAGGGGCCTTTAATAAGGTTTGGGGGCATATTATACGAGAGCTATATTAAGGAGCCCCGCAAAACCCAGGTCTAATTATCGAGGCCCCTACCTCAGACGGATACGCTCTCGATCCTGGGACGCCTGAATCTGTTTAGGAGTTCTCTACCCTCCCAAACCCCAAATCCTAAAGTCCAAAAGCCTGAAACATCGAAAACTTCAATTTAAACACTCTGTACTACGGGCCCATATTGTTGTTGTTACTCCTTGCGGTTCCTTAACATAGTGGTAGTATACCCCAACCCCCCTACATTGAGCTTTCGTCAGGTATCGCGGACTTCCCTGGCTACACTACGCAGCCGCCGTTCAACCTAGGCTCCCCGATATCCGGTTGGACTTAAACCCGAAGCCCTATACCCACAAACTCTTAAACCCGAAGCCCTGGACACTGTTTCGGGGGATTCCTTATTACAATTATAGTAGAATGGGCCCCCAAACCTTATTCTAATTATTAAGACCCTCAATCTTTAAACGCTAAATCCCAGGTTCGTTCAGCACGAGGGCTGTCAATGTCTACGCAGTTGCCGCATCAGAGAACTAGGGTCCATGGGGGCCTAAATAACTACCAGCACTATTCAGGGCTTGGAGATAGTATATAGTAGAAGCCAGAAAGTTGGAACATTTGACTCCTCATGCCCTTAAGATAAAGTATAAGGGATCCTAGCACTTCTCCTCCTAAAGCCATGTTCCAACTTTTTTGTTTCTACTGTAAGAAACCGCGAAGCCCAGGATTTGGGGTCTTCAGATCTTTAGGATTTAGGGTCTGCGCTTGTTAAAGGTATGGGTTCTGGTAAAACGGGCACCAAAGCCCTATTCTCATTATTGAGGCCCCTAGATTATAGGGTTTCCACAAAAGCGGGAAAGCTGGATTAAGGACAATTCTTGCTGGGGTTCCCTATACACTACGCTTAAGGATTGAGGCTATTGGGTTCCAACTTTTGGGCTTCTGCTGGAAACCTTTACACCAGAGTGAACTCCAGCATGTTGGGACATGGACTCAGGAAGGACATGTGTGTTTGGATGCCTACAAACCGATTTCTGGCCCATCAGGATCGTGCATCATGATATTTAAACTCTCTGGCTTCTATCCTAGGGCTTACACCCTAAGCCTGAAGCTTTTACCCGAAGCCCGGCACCCGAAACCTGGCATCTTTTTTTCCCGGATTGCCGAGTTCCCAACTCGACGCAAGTGGGGACCGCCACCTGGTTTCCAGGGGACTTGGTGGTCGTGAACCAGTTGCTCGACCTCTGAGTGAAGGGTGGGTCCCTTTCCGGCTTAGGTTTTAGGTCGAGGGTTCTGAAGCCTTAAGTTTGGAGTCCCAAGCCTTGAAACTCTAAACCCTAAACCCTATAGAACCTAAACCGCCAGAGCCCCAAAACTTTGGACTTTCAGCTCTGCAGTCATGAGGGGCTTAGGGTTTAGGGTCCTCGCACCTGAGTTCAATGATGTTTTGGACTATTGTCGGTCATGTTGGACTCACGAAAGGGCCTTCCTTGAAGAATCCTGAGCCCAACCCTAAACCCCTAAACCCTAAACCCCTAACCTGCGAAACAAGCCTTTGCGAATCCCCAAACCTTCACCCCGAACTCAGCCCTAACCCTGCCCTAACCCTAAACCCAAACCCCCAAAAGAGCGCAAGCACTCAGCCCCAAGCCCTAAACTCAATCCGTTCAGGGGTCAGATCCTCGAATCGTTTATAGTACGGGTGTGGGCGTCAAGGGACCCAAGAGGAACAGAAGCATAAGCATTTCATAGGGATATCCCTACCTTATTGGGCTTCAGTATAAGGGGGTTTATATGAGATCTCCCTATCCGCATTTTTGCTTCTGTGCTGTTTTGGGGCCCTATATAATCCCCAAATGGATCAGTATAGTAGTCCCCAATAACAGTCCCCGTAATCCATTCCCCCATTCCCTGCTAAGCACCAGGGAGTTATAGAGGGATTTCCTTAAATAGGCCTTACTCGGTCCTTATTCTGGGCATTAAGGGCCTCCACCCCCCCTCCCCCTACATCCCTTAGGGTCCCTTCTGATAGTAGGGGTTTGGGTTCCCGGTGTCTTGTGAAGTGGACCCCCCCCTGCCTAGGCTGGACCTGGGCTCCGGGCCGCAGGAGTTTGGGGTTTAGGGCTTAAGGTTTAGGGTTGAGGATTGGGGGGTTAGGGTTTAGGGTCTAGGGTTTAGGGTTTCGGGTTGCGGGTCTAGGGTTCAGGGTTTATTTCTTTTGTCGGGTTTAGGGAGTTGTTGGGATCAGGGTGATGTTTTGGTGCAGGGGAAGGGAGGCGAGGAGGGGCATTGGGGCGGGGTGTTTAGGGTTTGGTGGTTTAGGGTTCTGGGGATTGAGGTCACCGGTTTCTTTTCAGTGGGGGCGTAGGGCTTAAGGGTTTCGGTTGGGCAGGCCGCTGGGGGGACTGAGAATGGGTGATCGAGGTTTCAATGCTTTAGGATCTGTGATATGTCTTGGAGGTTTAGGACAACATCCTGGTTTACGTCTCCGACCTTTTCGCCCAAAATTGCTGGATCTTTGGGGGGGGGGGGGGACTTCCGGCTTGAGACTGTCACATGTCTATGCTTTTGAGAGTGGCCCCATAAACCCCGAACCCTACACTTAGCGTGTTTGAAGATTTATTGGATCCTTAAGGGAGGGTGGTTCAAGGGGGGAGGGTATAAGGAATCCTTAGGGGACTGTAAGGGAACCTTAGGGAGTACTAGGGAGAATTAGGGATCACCAGGCTATATACCCCCCTTGGACCCCCCTCCCTTAAGGATATTACAAAAGATTGCGGCTGGGCAGGAGGGGCCTCAGAAGAAGAGCTTTCCCCTGTGGATTCCCGTTTGTAAGGTTTTTTAGCTCAGGCTGAAGGGAAACTACTATTTGCTTTAAAGAACCACCAAAAAAGAAAAATAGTCATCCCTATATTATCCCTATAAGGAATATATTTTTTTACATTTTGGGGGGTTCTTAAGCCAATAGTAGGAAAGTCAGGTAGCCTGGTTATCCTACAGACCTACTTGACCCGAACCCAAAGCTCTAAACTCGAAGACGATAGTCTACATCCCTTCCCCCGAGAGCCTGGAAGACCCAGGTTGTTGTGAATGGAGCGTGTTCCCAATTGCCGGAATCAGTAAGCGATAAGGTTACACTGCTATGCTTGTGGATCACCTTTCTGGCACTTCTAGGTTTCCAAGTAGCACGCATGTGCTCTTTTTCTAGGGTCTCCTTGATTCAGCAGAAATTGCTGGGAACCACCGGAGCACGTAACCAGTATAGAACCGCACTAGAAAGCATATACGCCCACTATCTGCAGAACCCTTTTGAACTCCTGAGACGCTCTGGGAGTTTCCGAAAAATTGGGGGTACCTTATTTTGGGGTCCTTATAATAAGGATCCTACTATTTGGGGTACTAGATTTGGGTTCCCCATTTTCGGAAACTCCCATATACAAGAGCCGCACGAAACGCGTGACCTCAGAAACATTGCTGCCTTCGAAGCCCCCGCAACCCTAATTCCCTGAGTCTGGAAGCTCCTTTGGTCTTGCAAAGGGATGCATAGGGTCATGGGTTGTGGGTTTGGTTTTAGATTGTTTGGGTGGTTTTGGCAGTTTGGGTTCGGGGTAAGGGTTTGGGGTTCAGGGATAGTTGAGGGTTTAGGCTGGGGTGTAGTGTCTAGGGGCCTCCTAAACCCTCAGCCCCAAACCCTAAGCGAAAAACCCTGAACCCTGAACCCTCAACCAAAAGCCCTGAGAACTTTAACCCTACAAACCCTAAAACCCTGAAGCCCTCAATCCAAAGACCTGAACCCTAAAGCCTAAACCCTAAACCCTAAACCCAAGCCCTATAAACCCTAAATCCCTGAACCTTTGGAGGACTGGTCTATTGGCTGTAACCTCGACAGAGTCACTCGGAACCTGAGTTCAGTGAGGGTTTAGGGTTTTAGGCTTGAGGCTTTGGGGTTTAGGGTTCAGGGTTTGGAGCCTAAATGAGTCTGGGGTTTCAGGTTAATAGTTTAAGGCTTTATGAGGGTTTCGGCTCTTTTGATGGTGACTTGCTCTTTGTGGGATAGTTGCGGGTGCTCTCACGAGAAGGCACTTAACCCTCAACCTGAATCTCCGAAACCCCTAGCAAGCCCTAAACCCAACCCCCTAGACCACCAGAGCCTTACCCTAATCCCTAAACGCAAGGTCGTGGTGCAATCCCTCGACGGCCCGGCGACCCGTTTCGTCCTTCAAGTGCTGCACGCCTGAATGGGTCTAGGGTGGTTTACGACTTTTAGGCTTTCCGGCCTGCTTGCTCGGTTTCTGAATATTTCGTTGTTCCTACCACCACCCGTGGTCCTCATATGAGTGTAGCATATTGTAACCCCCCAAAGCCCGAAGTCTAATTATGGCCGCACAATCCCCGTCAAATGCTATAATGAAAGAATAGTGGGCGCTCTTTCTTCAAGGGACTTGGCAGTAGGAATCGTAATGGGAAGATCCCGATTATCACCCTTTCTACGGGTAGGCGTCCGATGTCTACATTACTCTGAATGGCTCTTGGTACGTAAAGCCTTTCTTGTAGCTACTTGGACCATGAGGGCAACGGTATTATGTATAGAGCCGTTTGCAGAACCCTCACAAACACCCTTGTACGCCCGATACAAGATCCGACACCCGACAGCCTTACACCCCAGCCCAAACCCTTGGGCCCTTAAACCCCGTTTACTAGAGATCCATTTCTGGCCCTGTTTCATAGAACCCTTAAAGTAACCCTTGAACAGCTACCCCAAACCCTAAACCCCACAAACCCTGCCCGATTCAGATTGACAGAACCCTTAACCCCGAAAAAAGAAGCCTATTCCACATATATCTAAATATCATACCCATGCCCCTAAGCCCCTAAACCCCTAAACCCCTAAACCCTAAACCCTAAACGCTAACATCCGAAACGAGGACCGGCGATGTGCCCACGGCTTTCTCTCGATCTGCTTGGAGCTTTAGCGGACGGGCGCCTTTGATCAATTCGCTTCTCTTGCTTCACAGGTTGTTCAGGCGATTGCGATATGCAGCAATACCAATAATCGTCGTAATCATTATTAGTTTTCTTATAGTTCTGATATGATTATGGGTATCACGATCGTCATTATTGTTATCTCTTGTTATTCTTATTGCCTTTGTTGGTCTTAATTTCGGATTCTGAACCTTCGTGATGATCTGCTTATTGTTACTGCACTATTCTTGGTATTGCTATACTCATTATTCTTATGCTTCTTTTTCAGGGTTTTCCAGATGGTTTCTATTTGGGCTTTCATGGGGTTCTATGGGTTTGGGGTATCTGTGACTTCCTCCAGCCCGAAACTGCCAATCAGCACAGCACAATTCTGTGGTGGGCGAGCCTCCGCAGAAAAGGAGTTTGGGTTTAGGGTTTAGGTTTTATAGCCCAAAACCCGAAACCATACGGGTTTGCAAGTCCCTTGCGCAGTAGCTGAAGCCTTGCCCCTTAAGTGCGGGATCGTGATCCCGAAGCCCTAAACCCTGATCGGGGGTTCAGGGTTCTCGATCCCCCACTTCGTAAAGTTGGGGGCCAGGCTTAACTACGCAATGGTCATGCAAACCCGCAAGGGATCAGGGTTTGGGTTTAGCTTTGCAGGGTTAAGGTTCACAACTCGGGATAAGGCTGCCTGATCCGAAATCGGTCACATGTAGCCGGGATAATGAGTAGGGTTTAGGGTTTTGATGACGACGATGATAATCCTGCAACCTCCAAGCCCCCCAGCCCAAAAATCGCACTCCAAAACCCCGAGCCCTTACACTAAGACCTCCGCCAAGCCCGTACACTGTTATCAGAGTTCGTGTAGTTTAGGATTTCTCTTAAAGATCGACCCCCTAACAACCCTGAACCCTAAAACCCTAAACCCTAAACCCTAAACCCTGTAAGCCCTATAAACCCGGGAGCACCAAAATCCCTAAACTCCAGACTCTTGCAAGGAGCCCCCCAATCAAAAGACCCTGGCAAGGAGCCCCCCCAAAAAGAGACTCTTGCGAGGATCCCCCAATCAAAGGAAACTCTTGCAAGGAGTTTCCAAAAAAGAGACTCTTGCAAGGAGCCCCCCACCCCCTCCCCCCTCCCCCCCCTCCCCCCTCCCCCCCCCCTCCCCCCCCCTCCCCCCTCCAAAAAAATGACGCTTGCAAGGTCTACTGTGCCGGTCTTCGGGATGGAGGTGACCTGGCAGCTGCTTCAGGGTTTAGGGATCAGGTTGCTTCAGGTTAACCTGGGTGGCATGTTGGGAAACTTTGGAATTTCCCTTATGGTTCCTATACAGGTACCTATTCATAAATACATTTAAGGGCACCAAAACCACAACCCAGTTACGATCTTCATCTCTTGTCATCTCTTGTTTGCAAACGACAACTGACCGGTTTCTGCGCTCGAATCCCGGGAGCACCTGTACCCCCCAAAGCCCCTAAGCCCAAAACGAAGAGCCGCAAGATGACCACAACTCTTAAGGTCATAGGGACCCGTAGGGGGGAAGGGGGAGGGGGGGTAGGGGGCCTTAATGCCCATAATCAGGACCGAATAGGCCTGTTTAAGGAAGTATTGTTTAAGGAAGTATAGTGCCCTAATCCCCTGGGTTGCGATGAGAAGGCTTTCCTCAAAGACCTAGCCACCCTAAACCCTAAACCCCTTAAACCCTAAACCCGCCAAAACGAAAAGCCGTAAGGTTTATGCAGGGTAGGGCTTTGGAATTTCCTGAGGCTCTAGCGAAACAGCACATCTTTTCAGGATATTCCCTAGAGGCCCCCGAACAAAGAGTAGGCGCAACAGAATTAGACCAAAAGCAATGTCGCGATTTTGGCATGGATTCGTTTAGGGATGAGGGATGGGGGTTTAGGGTTCAGCGTTCAGTGATTCGGGCTTCAAGTACAAAGTCTCTCCTTTGGGGATCCAGTCTGTCTGTCTGTCTGCCTCTCTATGGGTGGTTGTCACAATTATGGTCCCTTTTTGGGAACGCTAAATAATAGGTGCCGTATTATATTAGGGACCCATAATTTTGACAACCACCCCTATCTCGCCGCCGTTCTGTCTCTCTGTCTTGTCAGTCTGTATGCATGTATGCGCTGTATGCACAAATGCACCGTATGCACTGTATCACTGTATGAATGTATGCACTGTATACACTGTATGCATGCATGCATTCATCTACGTACGTAGGATTGTACGTATGTATGTATGTATGTATGTCCGCACATGTAAATATGTACATGTAGGTTCCAATACACACATGAATCACAGCATTATGACCGTGAAGTAAACAAGTAAGTATTCTATGTAAATATGCTTCTTCACGACTCTTAACCATGGACTTGCTGGCAGGAGCAGGACAATCACGCGGTGTCTATGAGATCTTCCCCGGAGGACTGGGGGGGTAAACCTTGCAAGCCAAAGGAAACAATCCTCGATTACAGGGCTCCTGTTTGCGGCCCTGAGCCCCAAAACCAAAGCCCCAACCCCTAAGCGATGTACCCCAAATCCCAAGCTTTCCCAACCCTCACACTCTTCACGCCCACGGTACAGGGGCTAGACTCCGGCTAGATTATCGTCCCCCGAGCAAACTAGAGTGTACTTAACCCAAAACACCATCGTATCTTGACTATCCAGGCCTTTGTCTTTAAACCCCGATATACCTTCTATCAAAAGCCTGTAAACGCTAAACCCTAAGCCGTAAACCGTAGATAACTCCAGGAAACCCCAGCGGACAAACCCAAACCCAAGCTTTGAATCCCAAAGCTGTGTCCAAAAACCCTAGACCGTACACACTTAACAACCCCCAAACCCTAGACATCCAAATCACCAGAAATCAACATCACCAACAACTCCATTCCATTGACCTACGTCCTGGTACCGGCTCCTTGGAACGACTGGGAGGATCGTTTCCATAGGTTTCCATAAGGGTTTTGAAGGTTCTAATGTTTTTCTGCGGATCTTCAGAATCACGGTTTGCGTGCGTGCGCGCGTGCGTGCTTAAGTAATTACCAATACTATTCTGGGGTTCCTTATTACAAGTATAGTTTTATGGGCCCCAAAACGCTATTCTAATGATTAAGGCCCCTATATTACGATGTCCTGGGTCGTGTGGGCCGAGTGTTTGGAAGTCGCGAGAATGCCGAGAGCGTCAAGGCGAAATCGTGCCTACTTAAAGGGTCATGGGACTTGGTAAGTAGGGTTATAAGTACCGTAATTGGGGTTATAAGTAATTATAAGTACAGCTACCTTAATTATACTAAGTCTCATGACCCTTTAAGTAGAAGATGTCCTCGATCGCTGAAGCTGTGGGAAGTGATAATATTCGGGTTTAGGGTTATTATAGGGTTATAAGGGATTATAGGGATTATAGGGTTATAGGGTTTAGGGTTATATAGCGGTTTATAGCAGATTTGAATTGTCACCCCTTTTATTAATGTCACTCTAACATGAGGCATCATGAGAGTAAACAGGAACCATGTACCTTCCTAAACCTGGGTGTTGGCGTCTCGGGTTTGCACGGTGCGGGGTCAAACTACATCGGAGCTCATCCAGAAAGTCTTGTGAACTCGACTATGCAGCCGCTGTCACACCTTGTTAGAGCCTGGTTTTGACCGGGGTGGCCCTAAACCCTAAACCCCAAACCCTAAACGGTGTACTTTGCGATCTCCGTTCTTGCCTAAACGTTCAACCGCAAAGCTGGACATCTTCAACCCTGAAGCGTCAACACTTCCTCCATACCGCCACTGCCTACCGTGCACAAGGGCTGCGGTTGTTCCTGTCACATCATACCTCAGGTTTCAGATTTTGGAAGTTCTCTCTGATATGGGGGCCTTGATAATAATGGAATAGCGTTTTGGGGCCCATTATACTATAATTAGAATAAGGAATCCCCAAAACCCTATTCTAATTGTTAAGCCTTTACATAAGGGTTCTCGATAGTCTTATGGGGACATCAGGACTAGTTATTCCGATCTCCGTGGTTCTACAGCTGGACAGGTCTTTGGTATCTGTCACTGCAAGGGTGATGTACACAAATTCATTGAATTGCGGAGTCTCCGGCCTAGACGGTTCAGGTTTTCAGGTTCAAGCCTTAAGCCCTGAGCCCTACACCCTAAATCCAAACCTTGAGGCTTTAGCGATCTCGTCGAAGATGCAGATAAGGATTTCTCAAAGCCCGTACAGTAGTGTGGGCCCAAACCTGGGTTGGGGTTTAACTCAATTTGAAAGCTATTCTTCCGGGTTCCCGAACATGTTTATGGTACCCCCCGCCCACCCAATTCGGACTCGAACTTATTCGGGCTACTAGTATATGCCTGAATAACTGGCGCCCGAGGAATTCTTCCCTTCTTTCCCTGGTGATGGGTTGAACTGCTTGAATGGGACCAGCCGCTGGGCATGAGCCTCCAGCCATATAGTTGCACCCTAGTTTAGGGGCCTGGCTAAGTGGTATAGGGTTTAGCACAGGGTATGGGGGATATTTTGTAGTAGGTTCAGATTACGGCACGTTAAGACATAACGTTGGCAAATTGTCAGGCTTCTACACTGGATCCCTACATGCACAACGATACCCCGAATGCCTTAACTTAAGCCTCAAACCGTCTAAACCCCAAATCTTAAATTCTAAACTTGGCAGCCACTCAACACGATACCCCAAACTCCTGCACCCTCATTCGTTATTTCCTAATACCTGATTGCTCAGACCCCAAATACTTTACCTTAATTCAACCCCATTATCAAAACCCCACATACCTGAACTTTAAATTACAAAAGCCGAAATCCTCAATGGTTTGAAGAGGCTGAAAATGTCCGGGAGCTCGAGGTAAGGGTTTCTATGCTTGACTGTTAGTGATATGTACTGCAGTCTGATACTGGTGGTTGAATTCGTTATGGCATGCCCCGAAATCATCAACGCCTCTGCTTTTAGCAGTTGTTGACGAGTTACGAGAGTCTTGGTCCGTGGCTGCAGTGAAGTGCTTTCGATGGCTAGCGGTTCGGGGTCATCATAGTGTTGTCGTTCAGGCTTTCGGTTTAGGGTTCGGGTTTCGGCTGGCTGGTGTAGGGTAACTCACTTCATGCTGTGCTTTCGGAGGGATAAGCATTAACCAGCACCTGTAAGCCGTAAGCCCTTCATGAATGAACTCATGAATACAAAAAGCCTTTCAAACCGTCAAACGAACCTACAAAACCTTCGAGCAACCCGACAAGTTGTCAAATGTTTGGGGCTCCAGTTGGTTTTGCTTTGTTCTACCCTCATACATGCTGCTGAGGATGTCTCATGCAGGAGTTGTCCTGAATCCTAGTCCTTTTGGTGTCCCTAGAGGCCGTAGTGTATGTATACAAGTCAAAAGCTGCCATTCGAGACAGCTCTGAGCGCAAAAAACCTTCACTGTGTCGCTGTGCTTTTCGCTCCAATCTACGGGTTGAGAGGCCCAAAATTCAAAGCCAGGTATTTTGGCATTTCAGGGTATGATTCTTTATGCTGCAGCCGTTGCAGTGGCAACCGAGAATAGCATTACTCATTGTTGGGGCCCATATAAAGACATGCAGGACATCCAACGCAAAGTCGGAGGCTCTGGCATGCGCAGCATGTGAAAGTGTGTGGCGGGGTCTATGCAAGACAGTGTATAGTCGTATGTAGTACTATTCTAGATGACTGGAGCCTCCGTGAACAAGGCCAATTCCCAAATTCGACGACGACCACGACGCATCTGAGCTGTATTCGATTGCAGAAATTTCCGATAATACCACGCATCGGTTGAAGTGAGTGGTGAAACTGCAAACAACCCGCCGTGAACAACCGTCGAACCTTTTCCAGTCCCGACCCCGCGGCTACCGTGGCTTCTACCGTGGCTTGTTGGGTTTAGGGTGGTTTAGGGTTTAGGTTTTAGGGGTTTCGAGGTTTTAGGACTTTATGCTCGTGCTGGTCCTTAAATCCTCTATAAGCCCTAACAGAACCCCACTCTCCACAGCTTCTCGCCTGTTTGCAGAGCTGGGTCGCAGGTAGGGAATGGAGGAATGGGGTAGAATTATAAGTACCATTACTACCATTCTTCCATTCTATACTAAGCAAAGGTAAGTAAAGCTTGCTTAAACTCTGAAAACTCAGTCCCTGCGGGTTCCTGATGATTCGGTTCTATATGTCCTTAAGCGGGTTCCCAGAAAAGGAACCCCAATTAAGACCCAAAGTTTCTTTATCAGGTTTCTACATTAGGTTGAAGGGGTTTGGGGCACGCTCCCGGAGTGAATTCTGGCAGGGCATCGTTAGTGTTTTGGGGCCTGTGTAAAGTGGAGTCCCGCGTGGGAGCTAACAGAGTTTCCGGATATCTTGTCATTTTCCCGAGGCAAGGCAGTTTACGGTTTAGAATTTGGGGTTTAGGGCGTTGACCAGGAATCGACAAGTGCAGGAGCCGCAGTGGCACTGTTGCATTGTAGGCTTGGAGTTGAGATTTGTAGGTTGGCACAAACCGCTACACCCCATGAAACCTCCTCCAAATCCCCAAACCCTGAACCCAGCAAGCCGCTGGACCTTAAACCCTTACATAAACTCCTGAACCCCAAATGCCAAACCCCTCTCACCCTGGCCTGGAATCGGTTTTAGGGCGACAGGTGGAAGAAACCCTAAACCCTAAACCCTAAACCCTAAACCCAAAACCCTAAACCCTAAACCCTAAACCCTAATTCGGCCCCTGAATGCTTAGGCCGTTTGGGCTTAGTAGGGTCTCGCGGCTGAAGGGTGTACGGTTAAAGTGCTTAAGAGTTCTTCACCCCAAAAACCCCCTATAAACCCTAACTCCTAAACCTTGAACCTTAAACCCTTAAACCCAAAACCTAAACCCCAAACCCTAAACCCGAAAAACCCAAACCCTAAACCCCAGACCCTAAACCCCAAACCCTAAACCCCCTAAACCCCCTAAACCCTAGACCCTAAACCCCAAACCCTAAACCCCCTAAACCCCCTAAACCCTAGACCGCAACCCTAAACCCTTAAGCCCTAAACCCTAAACCCCCAAATCGGCCCTGCTCACCCAGGAATCCGCCCTGCTTCAGTGACCCCATTTCGTGCCAAGAATTCGCAAGCCGCCAGCCGAATATGAGTTTAGGCTTTAGGGGCTTGATGACAGTCAATACTATTCCTTCGGGTTTCTTATCATAGTCTTATTCCAAGATACCCCCAAACATGTTTCTAGTCATCATTGAGGGATTTGCACACTAACTATTCTATGACTGGGAAGCATCTGGGGACGTAGTCAGTGACGCGAGGATGGAAATTTTACAGGGTTTCTTTCCGGGTCTCCAAAGACTCTTACTCTTAGATCTCCAATATCCAACCTTTAAACGTTTTGGGTTCTTGTAGTTTAGTAGGAATCGGAAAGTTTAACCTTTTCTTTCTGTGGCTTATTGGGGTAGTAAGGACTGCGAGCTCCAGGCAGGAAGGCTTGAGAGGCTTTAGTTGAGGGTTTCGTATATCAAAGGGGAAAAGGAGGGACCCTTAATGGGGACCCCTACCCTATAATGGGCCATATAATGGGTATATATTAAGGGTATATACCTAGGGGTCCTTATTAAGGGTCCCTCCTTTTACCCTTGGAATATATGGGTGGTGGTCAAAATTATGGTCCCTTTTTGGGGTACCCTAAGTATTAGGTGCCGTACTATAATAGAGACCCAAAAAGGGGACCGTAATTTTGACAACCACCTACATGGGGGCTCTTAGATAAATAGTTTACCTATACTGTTTTGGGGGTTCCTTATTACAATCAAAGGGTAAAAGGAGGGACCCCTAATAAGGACCCCTAGGTATATACCCATAATATAGCCATTATATAGCCCATTACAGGGTCCCTCCTTTTCCCCTTTGAATCATGGGCCGCTAGAAACGCCGCGCCTCATCTTGCGTGCTGAGCTTTAAATGCCCCCAGGCTTGAGGCTCTTTAGTTAAAGGATCATGGGACTTAGTAGCTAGGGTTATAAATAAGGTAACTGTACTTATAATTACTTATAACCCCAATTAAGGTACTTATAACCCTACTTACTAAGTCCCATGATCCTCCAAGTAGTAGTTCCTTTGTAGGAGTCATATGTAGAGTCCTATAAGGTACTCCCCAAAAGGAACTACTATGGAGCCTATTTGCAAGCCTTGATTCCTCAAATCCGATGATCTTGTGGTTTTGGGTCTCGGTTTCAGGAGCCCCGCCCGTAGAGCTGGATCATCACTTTAGAGTTGAGGGAAGATCGGATCTCTGCCCCTTACCCCTAAACCCAAATCCCTAGGGAGCCCCAACAGCACATAAGCATAAGCATTTTTTAGGGATCTCCCTACCATATTGGGCTTCTTTATAAGGGGATCTATATGGGATATCCCTGTCCTGATTTTTGCTTCTGTGCTTTTTTGGGGCCCGGGAATCCCTCGACCCTACTTAAAGGATCATGGGACTTAGTAACTAGGGTTATAATTAAGGTAACTATACTTATAATTAGGTATAACCTCCACTTAAGGTATTCATAACCATAAATACTAAGTCCCATGATCCTCCAAGTAGACCCTAAACCCTAAACCCTTATAGTACCCCTATAGATCCCTTAAAAGGGACCCCTATAACCCTACTTACTAAGTCCCATGATCCTCCAAGGGCAGAACTCCGGAAGCCCAGGCGTTCCGCTGCAAATGGACAGAGTCTTCAACCAATTTGGCTGTCAGGGTGCGATCAAGGCATGGTTCGGGGTCTGAAAACAAACTCTCAAAGAAAAGCTCTCCGGTTTTAAGGTTTTAGGGTTTAGGGTTTAACATGGTTTATAGCGTTCAGGGCTCTGGAATTGCCTAGAAGGGGTTGGGTCTAGTGAAGGCTTCCGGGCTTCTAGAACCCGGACACGCTGTACAGGATTGGGGGTTCAAGGGGTGGGGATTCGGCATTACGGTTTCAGGATCCGTCCTTAAACCCTATACACCAAAACCCGTGAGGTTTAGCGTTCAGGGTTTCGGGGGTTTCAGATTACGGTTCCCAGCTGTTGAGCTCCAGGCCCTGATCGCTGAGGTTGTGCAAAAGGCATCAGGAGCTCGAAGAAAGAGAAGCTCTACCATAGGGGCATCATAATTAGAGTAGGGTCTTGGGCCCATTATACTATGAATATAATACGGAACCCGCAGAAATAGCATTGGTAATCATTTAGGCGCCCTTTTTTAAACTTTCGACTTTTCTGCGACTGACTATAGCAGCACGCGTGCGCAGGCCCTCAACGTGACCACGGGGCTCTACGAGCCCCTTCGCTGTCTCTTAACAACCAAGGTAGGCCACCCTAACTCCCCTAAACCCTAAGCCCTAAACCTTAAACCCTAAGCCCTAAACCCTAAACCCTAAACCCTAAGCCCTAAACCTTAAACCCTAAACCCTAAGCCCTAAACCTTAAACCCTAAACCCTAAGCCCTAAACCTTAAACCCTAAACCCTAAACCCTAAACCCTAAGCCCTAAACCTTAAACCCTAAACCCTAAACCCTAAGCCCATAAACCCTAAACCCTAAACCCTAAGCCCTAAGCCCTAAACCTTAAACCCTAAACCCTAACTCCCAAACCCCCATACCCCGCCGAGCCCTGAGCCCCTCAATCGTAGTCGGCCTTTTTGGCTTAAAGGGTGTGTAAGGAAGCTCTGGGCGGCCTTGGGAGCAACTACTGTAGAGCTTGGAACCCATTTTGAGTCATATATGCCTATACTATCGCCCCTGTATAGGTACTCCAAGAGTTGTCATGATATACCCCAAAATCGAGGCCCCTGTACTGAATCCTAGGGTTCAGGGTGCAGACTTTAAGATCTGGATTGAGGGGTCTTAGAAGGGTTCTGTTAGGATTTCTGAGTATTCGAAGAGGGTTCGGCGATCAGAAGGGTTTAAGCTCTCCAGGCTGGGGTTGGGGATATGCTTAAAGGATCATGGGACTTAGTAACTAGGGTTATAATTAAGGTAACTGTGCTTATAATTACTTATAACTCCAATTAAGGTACTTATAACCCTACTTACTAAGTCCCATGATCCTCCAAGTAGAGTTTAGGGTTTAGGCGTTGGGAATGCCAATGTTGTCTTCAGGCATGTTCAGGGAGGAGGCTTGGGTGCATCAGAATGAAGTATCATGGCAGTTTGTGAACCTAAGGTTTTGGGTAAATCCAGTTATATTCAATTTTAGCTTCAATTCAGTCGCCTGACTTGCCACCTCATGCTTGCCTCCAAATACTAGCAATCCCTATTGCCCTGCAATGCAGCCAACTCGTAGACAGTGCCCTTTGGTTCACGGTTACAGGGCAGAGTGACGAAGACTGAAAGCCATGTAGGCACCCTAAACCCCAGAGCTCAAGCTCAGAACGCGGAGCCCTATGTGCGTAGTTCTCTAAATAAGGGTCCCCCTTTTAAGGCCCCCCCCAAAGCAGTATGGCACCCGTATAGAAAGCAAAATGGACCTTCAAAGAGCTACCAATGGGTTATGCTATGGTGTGGTTATGAACTTCGCAGGCTTTCAGGATGTAACATGCGATAGTGGGCAGACTGGCATTCTGCAAGTTTGGACTACGTTCGCAACCCTTAAATGCTAAACACCCAGGCTCTAAACATAAAGCCCCGAAACCCCAAACCCTAAGCCCGAAGCGCTAAAGCCCTTGCTCGGGGTTGAGGATTTAGGGGGTTTGGAGTTTCTAGGCTTTGTAGGTTTGGGGTTTCGGGGGTTTTGGGTTCCATGTTCTGTGGGTCTCCGGTGTCGGGATTTAGTTTCGAGTACTGATTCCTACACTTAGTACAGTACTGTTACTCGTGCTAAACTGCGTAAATCTCGTCTAAATCTACCCTAGTATTTCATCCTAAACCCGGCCCGAGCCTGCCGAGGGAGCTCTGCCGCTCAAACAACGACCCGGGAATATGTTACAGCGGCTGTGGCATTAACCCTGAGGACAACATGACTCCTGACTTGAATTGAGCTTCGAGTTTGTTTTGCCTATTCTAGGGTTTAGGGTTCAGGTATTAGAGACTTTAGGGTTCGTGGAATTTAGGGCTTAGAGGCCTCGGGTACAGGGTCGACATGGCTGGCCCTTGGAAATAGGATGGGTCTCCCGTGCGATGATCTGGTTCTTGGTAGGGAATGGGGAATGGATAATCAAGGGGTGTAGGGGGGAGGGGTGTAGGGTACTATATTTCCTTAAATAGGCCTTATTAGTCCTTATTATGGGCCTTAAGGCCCCCTACGCCCCCTCCCCCTACACCCCTAAGGATCCCTATGAGATAATGGAGACTATTCTTGGGGATTATATAGGGACTACTATCCCCTTTCCCTACTAAACACCGGGGAGATGAGGTGGATGAGGTGATCTTACGAGGGAGACCTGGTCGATGTTCATGTATCCTTGACCAGGACCGATTTTCGCGATCCCCGCACACCCGGCTCCGGCCGACGATGGTCCCAAATTCGAGTCGCCGCCTCAAACACCAAAAAACACTGCTAACGTTCAAACTTGTGTTCATCTCAACTCAGGTACCCGAAGTGGTGGAGTCACCAGATCGCGAACCAGGCCGGAGCATAGTAAGTTAGAGGATAATTCCCGAAAGACTCCGTCGGTAGGTTTACGATCGCGAGAAGAAGTTTCACAGCAGTCTCGGTGAAGGCTCGGTTTTCGCGATCGATGTCAACTAATGTCTTTTCCCCCTGTTTTATTGCCAGATGATTTCATCTACACCGAGTACCTGAAGGCAGGATTCCGCCGGCATCGAATGAGCACATACCTAGTTGTTTCAGGTTCGCGACTGGCCTACCACGAGTACTGACCGCTTCATCCTGCCAATGGTGCTCATAATCGACTTCCGTTTGAGGCCCACTTCGGTTTCTTAGCTTCGCTTCGTTGCCTTCGCAAGCGCGCCTGACAGGAAGATCGAACACTATTGCAACATCATGGAGCTGGATCCGCCAGGGCCTTAGACTCGCCGTAAATACCATCTTCACGCCTCGTCGCTCAGGCACCGGCTGAGGAAGCGATTCACTCCGGAGGAGCTCTATTGGCAGCACATGAAGCCGCCAAAGCGCGCGGTCCCCGTTCGAGCGAAGTCGAAGCTGCTCGACGAACCATGCGCCACTCAGGTCAGCGCGACGAGTGAGGAACCACCGGAGCGAGGAGCACCCGGAGTATAAAAGCAAGAAGGTTCCTATAGGTTTTTGATAATAAAGTTTTTTATTTGTAGAGAATAAAGAAGTTCAACGTAGACGATGTGCATTAAGTAACTAACACAAGCATTCACGACGCACCACATGTACTGCATAAGGTGTAGTTGTATTTGGGATTTTGTGTGAGGTATATGTACACATATAATACATACATGTATATATATATATACTATATGTACATATACATAGAAACACATACACACAGATATATAGTATGTATACATGGGTCAGTTGAATTATACATATATATATATATATCTATATTTCTACGGGTTCTAGGAACGTTTATGCCTTTTACGTGCCGCGATTGCGAACCTAGATGTTGTAATAATCTCGGGTTCGTCGATTAAGATTGCAAACAGGACTACACGACAAGTGTTTGGACTACTTCACCGACTACATTTGCAACATAGTATTTCTTATGACGGGAGATATATTTCTTTGCACGAATAGATTCTATTGACTTGTATCGTTCATTTATCCGATATATATATATATATATATACACATATGTGTAAATAAATAAATAAATGTATATATATATATATATATATATGTATATATGTATATATATACATATATATATATACACACATATATATATATATATATGCTACGGGAATTAGCGTTTTTGCTACATTTTATGTGCCGCCATTGCGAGCCTGGATGTAGTAATAATCACGAGTTTGTCGATTGAGACCGAATAGGACTACGTGAAACAAGTGTTTGACGACTTCACCGGCTACATTTGCAGCATAGTATTTCTTTACTACGCGAAATATATTTCTTTGTACGAAGAGATTCATTGAATTTTGTCGTTTGCTTGTATTTATATATATATATATGGATATATATATATATATATTTATATTTATGTGTACATATATATACGCTTCTTCTGTAGAAGGTATATGTACACATATATACTATATATCTATGTACGTGTATATGTACATATGCGTATATATATATATATATGATTTAACAAGCTTTTGCTTGATTGTATGCGCCTCTATTTTGTATTCGGTTGTTATGATAATCCACGGGGTTTAAGCCTGAGAATTGAAAACTACGTCAACAAGCGTGAAGATTCCTTCTCGACTAGATTTGGGACGTACGATGTCATTGCGATTGGGAACCCTCTTATTCCTAGAATACAATTCCAGTGGAAGTTTGTCTTTCCAGATCGAAAGCTTGAGTCTCGAGAGAGGTTGACCTGAATCGAAGCCCAGGCATTCCCGATATGTTTCGGGCATGTAAGGCTTCAGGATCGAATACGCTTCACACATAAACATACATGTATATATATATATATATACATATATATATTTATACCCATATGTACCCACCAGACTAGGCCTAGATGTGTACATAGAGATTTCTTTATATAGGACTTATGCATATATACTTATGTTTACATTACCTATGTACACACATCTGTTCCAAACCTTGTTACTTGAAACACTATCCTTCTCGTAGTTGTTGAACTCATCCTTGCCTGGTGGACTAAGGTCTTGACCCCGTACGCTCGTAATAGGCGACCATCACCGGAGTTTACATGCTTTGAAGCTTCTCGAGCATTCTGAACATGACGACTGTTGTAGCTGTTCTACACGGGAAGCAGTTAACCACGAAAGCACTGAAGATTGCAGTCGACAGCGCGGCTTTTGGATCAAGCGGCAGTTGCGACTTTTCGCCAACGCGGCCGCGTCGCCGAATCCTCAGTTGCACCGAAATCCTTGGTTAGGCGACGCACCTCTCGATTTGCGAGGTTTCGCCCAAATGCCGCCTCCTCCTCCTAACTACTTCAGGAACCGAGGCGTCGCTGCTTTGCAAAGTAAATCGAGCAGAGCGGCTTGGATGACGAGGTGACCGCAAGAGGTTTGGACGAGGTCCACTGATGTATTCCGTGCCGACCTCAGGAACGGTTGACGGCAGAACGCAGCCTTCGTCGTGCTAAGTCCGGTCGCGACTTTCGGGAGATGCTCGACATCGAGCGCGAGGCTGCGCAGCTGCACCGATAATGCTGCTTTGATTTCGTCCGAGCCCGTTAGCCGGGAAAGCCTTGACTACATGCCCACAACTCTGTTTCTCGTTGCTCCTAATCGTCCCGCTCTATAACTCCACATAAACGCTCGGTGCGATGGGTTGTCACAGGTAGAATCTTTTACGACAGTGCTTCGGACGCTAGAACCGACAGAAGCCAGAGGGTCATTGGATTCATGAGTTTCTCCGGTGTCTACCAACCTCGGTTAAAAATGGTACCGACCGTAGGTACTCCAAAACACAAACCCAAGCATCGAGCCCAAACCAGATTAAGAGCCGTTTGAAAGGAGGTGAAGCGATTATGGCTCGGGGCCATCGCCGCCACGCTTCGGCCTTAGTTAGCGGCCAACGATCGGCATCAACATCGGACCGCACAGGATGGTCCGTTCGGCGGTGGATGCCGGGTGTCCGGAAGAAAGCCACTACAAAACGAGCCGGAGGCTAAGGCAGTAGACATCTTGTCCCAGGTTGTACAACAGCGTCGCCGACATCGACGACTGGTCCGGGCCGACAACGGTCAAAGTTAACTGCACTGCATTGATCCCGAGGTTGATGCGAACGCATCTTTCCTTCTTTCATCAAGATGGCGACTTCGAGGAAAGTATGCTGGAAACTCGAAGCGAGTGGAGATCCTCGAAGAAGCAGAACGGCCCGCCCAGGGACTTGGCGCGCGCCCTGAGATCCTGGCTCTTCGGTGCCAACAGGCCGACTGTGATTCAGAAAGCAGTGTCCGAGAACAGGTAGGCATGCATCTTCAGCCGTATGTATTCTAGATGACACTAATCTTTCGCGTCGAATGTGCAGTAATTCCACTGCGGAGTACTCGTTGCCGGAGCCAATGCCAGAGCCTCGGGTTGCAGCGCTTTCGCTGAAGCGGCGTAAACGGAGTTCGTGCCAATGGCACTGAAAAAAAAGCTTCTGCCTTCGCAGGCGGGATCGGACAGCCAAAGCTCGAGCATTGCAAGAATGATGCGGTCTGTCGAGGCTGTCAGACCGAGAGCTGCGACCGCTCACCCCCACACAACTGCAACTGGGCCGCCCCAAGAATGTAACTGTTGATAAGCACCAGCGTGAACTTCTGGAGGATCGGCTGGGCACCCTAAGACACGGCCACGAGGCCGGCAGGTGCTTGTTCGACCTCGTTTTTTGTCACTTGCACGGCAGGCGCAGCAACCGGCTTTCGATGCAACTGGACGAGTCGCGAAAGCCGCGGAGGCCTTAGCACGGTTGAATCGGAAAGAATGTCGCGCGTCTTCTTGCATGCACGACTGCATGGAGCATCAAGAGATATTATGCGGTTTTTCGACTTGAAAGGTCTTGGAACATTGCAGCGACAGTTAACGACTAACTACCGAAACGAAAACTCTAACATCCAACATCAACAAGAACGCTAGGGTAGAGAGTGTAATTCTCGAGACGTGTGCTGCAGGATTCTGACTGCCTGTGTGGCAGTTTGTTGCTCTGAGATTCCACGCGACATGGCCTCAGCCGCACGATTTAAAAAAACTCGTCCGGCTTCGGTGGAATGTGCAGCTTATACCGCATCCGCTCGCATGAGAAACCTTAGTGCGTCCTGCGACGGATTTGCGCCTGCACGTTGAGCATCTTCGGCTCTGAAGAAAACCCACGGCAACCGCAGAGATCTTCACTGCACATGTCGCTGCCGCTTCGGAACCTGGACAGGGGGTTATACGCCTGCAGTGCGTGGATCTCAAACAAGTAAAACCTACAGCGCCAGGGCAGTTGGTGATTTCCGGGTCTGTGGTTGCGACGACGACGACAATTATTGGTGACCACATTGGCGACAGGAGCTACGTTCGGTTGCCGGGTCCTCGTGTTCGCTTTAACAAGAATCGAAGTGAATGCTGATTTGTGTCAGGGCGAATGGTGCCATTCTGCCCCGCTCTCAAACATCGTCGCGGCTTCGCCGGTTTCTTGGTCGCGTGCTCGAGGTCGCACATGCGCGGAAGAGCGAGGTTGGTTTGTAGCGGAGCCATCGGAATCGGGTACAGACGACGATGCCGAGGACCGATCCGGAGCCACACAACAAGTGCCAGGTGTCGATTAAGTCAGGACATGGACAGTGCCAGTGACACGGTGACCACGGCGCCATTCGACGACGACCCCCTTCAGGTCACGAACAATGTGAAGGAAATGACTTCGGACAGAGATCGTCTACTGCACATGGCGGTGCTGCTTCGGAACCTGGACAGGGGGTTATACGCCTGCAGTGTGTGGATCTCAAACAAAAGAAACCTACAGCGCCAGGGCAGTTGATGATTTCCAGGTGTGTGGTTGCGACGACGACGACAATTTGGTGACCACATTGGCGACAGGAGCTACGTTCGGTTGCCGGGTCCTCGTGTTCGCTTTAACAAGAATCAAAGTGAATGCTGATTTGTGTCAGGGCGACTGGCGCCATTCTGCCCCGCTCTCAAACATCGTCGCGGCCTCGCTGGTTTCTTGGTCGCGTGCTCGAGGTCGCACATGCGCGGAAGAGCGAGGTTGGTTTGTAGCGGAACCATCGGAATCGGATACAGACGACGATGCCGAGGACCGATCCAGAGCCACACAACAAATGCCAGGTGTCGATTAAGTCAGGACACGGACAGTGCCAGTGACACGGTGACCACGGCGCCATTCGACGACGACCTCCTTCAGGTGCGTCGCGGTACTGCATGCAGATGGAGCACGACAATCACGAACAATGTGAAGGAAATGACTTCCGAGATTGCAAACTCTACACTTCCTAAGCCCTAAACCCTAATAGGCCTGAACCCCAAACCCTAAACTGTAAACCGGCCTCGTTGCAGCTCCATCTCATGATATTTGTTGTTTTTTTGCTTTGCATAGACTCTACGAAGTTCCGAGAGTTCAGGGTTTGGTCTTTTTGCTTCATTTAGGCTGGCTTTGGGGATTAGCGTTCAGGGGTTTAGGGTTTGAGGTTTAGGGCTTTAGGGTTTAGGTTATTTGCTTCTGACCCCCCAGACCCTTATACAACCCATAACCCTAAACCCTAATCCCTAAACCCTGAACCCGGCTTGCAAAGGTCTGAGTCATTAGTGCCGGCATCCTATGCTCGCCCCGAGTAGCTTCTACTTCTTTGGGGTTTATCGCCTTCTCGCTCCATGTGGGAGTTTTCGAAAAATAGGGGGACCCTTTAAAGGTATCCTTAAGGGTTCCTTTTGGTGTTCCTCTATAAGGGATCTATACGGCTTAGGGTTTAGGGTTGGGAGTTTCCGAAAATAAGGGACCCTATTATAGTACCCTCGACAGTAGGATCCTTCTTATATGGACGCAGAATCAGGGTACCCCTAATTTTCGGCACCCCCCATGTACCTATCTAGTCGCCCTAACCCCTGTAAGGGCTAAGTATCTACTATTATTACATAGGTACTTGGAGCCTCCCCTTCCTTGAGCTCGGGGTAACTTGTTGAAGACTCTCCTATGCCCGGGTCTGAACCTTGAACCCAAGGCCCAAGACCGTACCGTTTACCTGTGGCCCAGAAGACCTACGCTGTTTTAGGAACAAAAGATGTATATAGAAACCATAATAGGGAACCCTAAAGACCTACCCTTTTTTTAGGAACTACATATATAGAAACCACAATAAGGAACCTTCAAAAGGTAGGGTTTTCCTTCGACAGGTAGGCTTCCGGGTTTACGCATGCGAGCTTTCTTTGGAGCTGAAAGGCCCTGAGCCTTAAGAGCTTTCCCGCCGAACCTGAAGCCCCGTTCTGCAGGGTTTAGGGTTTAGGGTTTAGGGTCCTGACTCCATTCAACACTGAACCCTAAACCCTCAAACCCCCGAACCCTGAACCCTAGACCCTGGACCTTAAACCCTAAAACCTTCAAGCCCTAAATCCCCACCTCCGCCCTGAGGATCTACTGCGAGACGTTCGATGGGTTCCGCTTCTAGACTGCTAGATTGAGACGGGTTCGAAGTTGTTACCACCGACGACTGGTTTTAGCCGGAATGGGAGAGTGGCTATATACTTCCTTACAGTAGTCCTTTATTCGTCTTTCCCTCAACTCTTCCATATGCACGAGTAAGACACAGGGCTCAGTTCGCTAAGCCCCCGGAGAAAAAGATTGAGCCGTGTCTGAGCTTGTCGGTATCTTCATGCGTAGCGTTTAGCCGCTGTAATGCAGTGCCGATCCCTGATTAAGAAGCACTTCTCACCTTATAGAAGGGCTTATGACAAGGATCCTAGTGACTTCAGGTGCGGGATGTTCTAGCCTAGAGTGTCCTTCTTGAGACTAGCATGGAGTCCCTAGCACGCGCTTCTCAAAGTCGTCTATCATGGCCGCGATTGGGTTCCACGTTAGTTTTGGTAGCATTTTAGTATGGAAGTGCAACACCTCAAGGCCTTAATCGTGATTCCGAAACCCCATTCAAGTCTGTCGGTCCGATAAGTCATTAAAAAAAACAGTCCCAGGGCCACAGCCCTGCACTTTGACTCTGACGATTGGGTGTGGGCACCTGGGTGTGGGCGCGGGTGTTGGCCTGGGCGTAGGCGTAATGCGGTGGGTGGGAGGTGGGTCGGTGGGGGGAGGGGTGGTTTTGGGGCTTTGAGGATAGGGTGGGGGCCGTGGCTCTGTATTGTGACTCAACCCTAAACCCTGAACCGTGGTGCAACCCAGGTACACTTACGCGGTTGACATGCAATACGACGACTGGTGATTCGGCGGCACTGTCGAGTCGTGCGGCGAACCTCACTGTTGAACATGTTACGGTAGCGATGAAGACGGGGATGATGATGATGATGGTGGGGACGACGCATCATGTTGATGATGCTGTTCATGATGACAACGCTTGGTGATAGTTGTGGTGATGCTGATGCTGCTGATTGAGACGATTCGGACGCCTGCACCGGGTTCTGATTGTCGAAGGCAAGCCCTTAAGCCTGATAACATGTAGCAGAGGGCTTAATGATTATGAGTCTCGGGTTTTTGGGAATCTATCATACCATAACTTTTGCAAGGAACTCCAAGGAATAGTGTTAGTATGTGCTAAGGCTTCTCGGCCCCAAAACCCTCTTCTAATTGTAAAGGCCCCGATCCTAAACTCTGCCCTATGAGTCCTTCTCCGGAGCAAGATCCAGGGTTCTAATAAATCAGGCTAGAACCCCAAACCCTTTTCTGATCGGGAGAAGTTTGCATACGAACTTCAAGCCCCTTTCTGACCAGAAATTTTTACAACTAAGCATGCAAGAGAATCCCTTTGAACACCCTTGTAAGAGCCGTGTAATTTTCTTTTCGATTTTCAGATCCTTCAATGGATCGGGGAGGGAAGGACGAAGGACCCTAAACCCCAAACCCTAAACCAAAAACCCTAAACCCTCAAACCCCTCCTTCTTTTCAAGAGTTTGGGGGTATCAGGAGCTCAAGGTTTGGAGTTTCGGGTTTAGAGTCTGTAAGTTTTGGATTTAGGGTGGAGGGTTTAGGGGTTTAGGGTTTAGGAGCTGGGTTGCAGTTCAATTGGCATCGGTGGCAATTCCAATGCGCTTGAGCCCCTGCTTTCGTTGTTGTAGCTTGCACAACAATCGGACCCATCAGTATTCGAAGATTAAGATGGGGATCCGCTGATAAACGCTAAGCCTACATAAACGTTGAAAGCAGTACGCAAGTTCAAGCAACCGGTAGTGGGACCTAAACCCTAAACCATTAAACCAAAAATCCCGAAACCCGTAAACACTGCCTGAGGCCTCTTGACCCACTGCTTTGTGGGGGCGCTAAATGCGAATACAGCGGCAACGTTCAATCCAGCCCATGCAGCTGCAATCTGTGATACGACTTGGGTCTACTACTTTGGTGGGGCCCAAATATTTGCCAGAGTTCCGCAGGTTCCCTGAATCGAGCCATCGTGTAATTAATGCGCCCCTAAACCCTATTCCAAACTGGGTTCATGGGCCAGGGTTCAGCGTTTGGCATTGAAAAGTTCAAGCTACCAAACCCCAAACCTTAGCTCAAAGTAACTACTATAGTATATTCAGGGCTTTACGGGTCTTCGTTTGGATGCGTTATAACGGTATAGGGTATTTGGAGAGCTGACTTTAAGTTTCAGTTTGGAATCGTCGGGGTTGAAGGCACATGGGCTCAGGGTCGAGGGGGGCTTGATATAACACAGTATACTACACTATATTCATATTATACAATACAATATAGTTATATCTATATATGTGTGTGTATAATGAAATATAGTAGGATCTATGATATTATAGTCTAATGTATATATTAAGAATATAACATAGGGTGCCGGGTACAGAGAAGCCGGGAAACAGGGGCTCATTCTGTAGGTTAAAAGGGACGGAGCTGTGGAAGGCAACGGAGCTGCATGTTTTAAGGGGTTTAGGGTTTAAGGGTTTAGGGATTAGGGTTTTAGGATTAGGGTATAGGGATTAGGGTTTTAGGATTAGGGTTTAGGGATTGGGGCTTTGGGTTTCGGGTTTGGGGGTTCAGAATTTTGGAATTAGGGATTAGGGTTTAGGGTTTGGGGGTTGTTCTTGAAACGTTCGAGGCAAACTCGCAATCCTCCGAGCATTGTATGGAGCTTCTGCTCCTAGACAGTCTTGGCTAAAACCGATGGAACGGTTGATGACATAAATCCTGGGATTCCTTTAAAGGGATCTATAGGGGTAGCTTGAAAGGGTTCCTTTAAGGGATCTATAGGGCTTTAGGGTTTAGGGTTATAAATTCGCATTACCTTAATGACCCTAGACCATGGAAATTATGGTAAATTCCTTATTATGGGGGTAACGCAGGATTTATATCATCAACCGCGAAGCGCCAAGACCCCAATGCGGAGTAGAAAACACATATTCCGTCTGTGCAGAGAGAGCCTTTTTGGACAAGACCCAGTCATCGTCCACGGATACAAGACCTTGACCTTGAAGTTCCGTTCGCACCGATACAAGATCTTGAAGCTGCAACTTGAAGCTCCGTTCGCTCCACCAGACAGAAGTGGCCCGCATGATTATGACCGTAGTATAATATCACCCCAAGCCCTTTTCTAATTGTTTTTTTGAAGAATCGCCTGCTTGCTCTGAAATCCCTTAGCCCAATCGACTGAGCTGGAAAACCCATCGGTTTGAGGGGTTTATGGTTGACGGTTCAGGGTGTATGGTATGTAGTAATCCCTGTGCCCGAGACCCTGTATCAAAATCCTTACACCCTACTGCACAAGAGGTCGGAATAGTTGGATAGAGTAGTTGGATAGTTCTTGCCCTGAGATGATTGTATTTCAAGAGTCACCGAAAGCGTTTTTTAATTCTTAAGGCCCTACATCAAACGCAGCCCCTAAACTGAGACGGACAATGCTTACATTGGCAACTCCGGCCGGCTGTTTCAATTGCTAAGCTCCATGGCGGAATCATTTGTTCAGGTCCAGGGGTTTTGGAGCCTGCTAGCTACTATTATTAGAAGTACTCCTCCTCCTCGTCTTCCTACTGCTCCTACTACTATTACTGCTGCTGCTGCTATTACTGCCACTGCCACTGCTACTGTTACTGCTACTGCTACTGCTACTCCTACTGCTACTCGTGCTAGTACTACTACGACGACGACGACGACGACGACTACTACTACTACCACTACTCCTCCTGCTGCTACCACCACTACCACTACCACTACCACGACCACGACCACGACCACTACCACTACGACTTAAGAGTTTAGGGTTCAGGGTTCATGTAGAGGCCTCCAGGCAGCAAACATCTGAGAAGGCATTGGGGGGCTACAACGAGATGTTATTCTTAGATCCCCAATACCTAGCCTTTAAAATGTTCGGGCTCTTATAGCTTAGTAGGAATCAGAAAGTTTAACCTTTCATTTCTGGGGCTTATTGGGGTAGTAAGTACTAAACCCTAAACCCTAAACCCTATTAGTGAGTGTTGAGACCCCTCCAGTACGCACCCTACTTTGCCTGGAACCGTTTGGATTCGAAGCCTTCCCGAAACCCCTAAGCCCTTACAACCCAAAGCCCTGAACCCTAAATCCTTCTTGGAGCTTAAACAAAACCTGAGTCCATCGTGGAGGTTCCTGTGTGTTTTTGTTGCAGGTTTCACGGCGAAAACCGAAAATAGATGTCGAACCATGTACATATCGGTAGATACTAGCCTACAGATGGTCTTAGCCCCTGTGTTATGCTATCATAGTATAACATGCCCCAGAAGCCGCTCAAACTGTGAATGCCTTTATGGTGGAGCCCCGAAGCCCGAAGTCCTCCCTGGCAAGATACGAGCCAATTCCCGGCCTTCGTCCTTCGGCGGCAGCACGATGGCTTGGGGTTTACGTTAGGGGCTTAAATGATTACCTATACTATTTTGGTGGTTCCGGTATTATACTTATAGTATAATGGGCCTCAAGACCCTGTGCGGCACGATGGCTTCGGGCTTACTAGGATGCCTGGTTGTACCCTTATTCCCTTTTTGTAGTCCTGGGTTCCTTACAAAGCTACCCACACCAAAAAGGGAGCCCTTTCTATTCCGAGGTTACGGGGCATCCTAGTTTAAGCCTTTTTGTTTCTACAGCCCCAAAGGTTTTGGGTTAAGAGTTTAGGGTTTCGGGTTTAAGAGTTTAGAGGTGACCCGTTCTGTTGGGGTTGAGAATAGTAGTCTCCCACTCCCTTGTGGCAGTATGCGCCAAAACCTTGACCTGAAGCCCGAAACACTCAACAGCGGCCTTGACCTTCGAGTTTCAGGTTTAAGAGCTTAGGGTTCCGGGTTTAGGGTTTAGGGAGTTCCGAGTCTAGGGCTGACGGAATTCGAAGTCCAACTATCTTAAACTAGATTTTGTCGGTTTCCCAGCGTCGTTTCCGGGATACCTAGGACCTAAGCACCGACACTCTCAAAAGCTCCCCTAAACCACCTCCCTAAAGAGCCTACCGAGTTCCTCAAACAGGCCTTGAAAACCACTAAAAAGCGGAGAGCCAAAATCCTAAGGAGCCCAGCTCTGATTAATGGGAGTTTTGCAGGAGTTCGGGGCAGACGGAGGGTGCCAGATACTTGTGTAGCATGTGTGTTGGCTTGGGTTTAAGGTTTAGGGGTTAGGTTATATACTCTGGCCACGCAGAGAAGCTGTATACTTGGGTTTAAGGTTTAGGGTTTAGATTATTATAGAGACTTTTGGCCATACAGAGAAGCTGTATACGATTCCCATGGTATTTTCCGAGCCCAAGAAACCGCCGTGTAATGGAGTATAGAGCCCATAAAGCAACGGAGGCATTACACACACTGAAAACAAAGGGGCTTAGGGTTTTGTAGGCCAGCCTCCCATGCCCTGAGCCTTGAACCCAAAACGCTAGGACGCTTCGACTCAGGAGAATCGGCCGCCTGCTGACGGGTCGACAAACCTCGGCCCCTGTGTGGACTTAGTGTCGTTTCGGGTCTTCAAGCGTTTAGGGTTTGGGCTTTGGGGAGGCCTTGTTCTTACCGTTGGTTAGTAGGGAATGGAAGAATGGTTATAATTGTAGCCCATTCCTCCATTCCCTATTAACCAAAGGAAAGTGTTGTTGTTGTAGCTTGCTGCGCGAAAAGGTAGTCCGTGAGAGGTCCAAGATCTACTGTCCACTCCACGATGTCGGCTCGGGGGCTTTAGTAGGGTTTTGGGTTCAGATTTTTTCCGAATAATACTTCTACCATCGGTTTCCATAGAACTTGCTCAGTTTATGCTTAGGGGATGGAGTTTGCGCAAGCTTGCTCCATAGTTGTAGAGTTGCTGGTGCCCTCACGCTAGAGATATCTTCAAGCTGGGATTCTGTTCCTAGAAGCTCCGCGAGGGGTCTTGGGCCAGGAAAAACACAAAATGAATGCACATTTTCACGGGAAAGTTACGTAAGATTCTCAGGGGCCTGAGTTCTGGCAAGAGGACTCAAAGGCTCAACTCGAAAAGCTAAACCGCAGAGGAGAAAGGGGGGCTACCGCATTTTAAAAAAAGCCGCAGAAACTTGAAGCCCAAAGCCTCATGGGAGTTTCCGAAAATTCAGGGAGACCTGCTTTTGGGGTCTTATAACAGGGGTCCTAGCAGTTAGGGTACTTTTCTTAGGGTCCCCTATTTTCGGAAACTCCCTCATGAAGCCCTGCAAGACCCCATGCCCTAAGCTTCACACAACCTCAGGCCTTAATCCCCAAAGCACAAAGCACCCGAAGCTCGAAGCCCGGTAGGCTCCCATATCCATCAAGAGGGTAAAGGGTTTAGGGATAGGGTTTAGGGTTGAGAGCTGAGGGTTTAGGGCCTAGGGTTGAGGGTTTAGGGTTCAGGGTTTAGGGTTTAGAGTTTAGGGTTTAGGGTTCAGTGTTCAGGGTTCAGGGTTTAGGGTCTTGGGTGTAGGCAGGTTTTCGGACTTCTGGCCAAGCCCGCCCTAAACGCTAAAAGCCCCAGGCTCCAAAACGCAAGAAAAGACCCAAGCCCACCCTGAAGCCCGAAACCCTCAAGCTAAGACCTTCATTCTTTCGGACCTTTTGACCCCCCCCAAAACAGTCGCAGGTTTTTGACCACCAAAGCCCTAAAGCCTAAAGACCCTTACCCCCAAAACGAATCGTAAAGACCTCCAAAGACTTCTACGTCATGAACATGCTAAACCCTAAACCCGAACCCTAAAATGCTAAACCACCCGAAACCCTGAAGCCCCAAACCCTAGCCCTAAAATGCTAAACCACAAACCCTAAACCCTAGACCCCATAAACCTTAAGCCCAAAACTCCTACAGTACCCTCTTTAACGTAAAAAAGAGTCCCAAAGCCCGTGCCCAGCCGACTTCTCCACCATCATCGGGCCGCGCCTCGATGCTCGCGGCCTTACAATGGCAAGGTGCCTTGCTCCAAGCTTAGAGCTGAGGCCCTATAAGCCCTATAAGGTTTAAGGTGGTTTAAGGTTTAGGGTTTAGGATTTAGGGCTACTTACTGCTGCAGATGCAGAGAGGAGCTTCCCTCTTAGGTTCAGGCCTTAGGGTGGACGGTTTAGGGTTCAGGGTGGAGGGTTTAGGGTTTAGGGGCCTTGCAAATTGAGAAGGGTCAGAGGGGATTCGGGGTGTTTGGGGGGTTGAGGCTCCGTAGAATCAGGGGGCCTTGTAATCCAGTAGGGGTGCACCAAAAAAAACCTACACCGTCTATAGGTCTAGGCTTTGGTTTGAGCGTTTAGGGTTTGGAGTTTTGGGTTTAGAGTCCTTTCACGGATTCCTCAATGGTTCCTTCAAAGTTTCTATGGAGTGTATGTATGTCGGTTTAGGGTTTACGGTTTAGGGACGACAAGGCAAGATTGTTATCAAACTGTTCGGGCCTGAGTCTTGGGCGCTCTCGCCTCAACCACCGAAGTCGGGCACTGGAGCATTGTGTCGTCGAAGCAGAACGCCGGATTGAGCATTCAGGGTGCACTGAATTCCAGTCCTGTTGTGCCTGTTCTAAGATACAGCAAGGAACCCATCGACCCCCTTACATCGCACCTGTTATGATCTGGCTGGCGTCACCAAGCCAAGCAAGTAGTGTAGGGTTGAGGGCTCTAGGGTTTAAGGGTTGTTGGGTTCCAGAAGTTTTTAATTGGATTTGCTAAGGTCGTTTCTTTATAAGAGATGTAGGGGATTACTATAGAGGTCCCTGAATAACTGATTGATGTCCGAAATTCGCAGCCTGGAACTCTCACCGGAACCTCAAACCCTGCACTCGAATCATATTTGTTGAACCCTAACCCAATTCTTAACCCTAAACCCTAAAGACATTTCTCTCAATAGAAGACCCTATGCCCGAAACATTCCTGAGCCCTTATGAATCCTAAACTCTAAACCCCAAACAATCTTAAACCCTACACCCCACCCCAAACCTAAACCCTAAACCCTACACCCCCAACGTTCCTAAACCGCCCTAAACCCCCCAAACCCCTAAACCCTAAACCACTGAACCACCCTAAATCCCTAAATCCCTAAACCCTAAACCACCCTAAGTCCTAGATCCGAAACTCTAAAGCCCATTTTGGAGGTACGACCTCTTCGGGCTCGGGCTGCAGGACGCAAAGCTTAAGGGCTAAGGGGTTTGGGGCTTAGGGGTTCGGATTTTGGAGCATAGGGTTGAGGGTTTAGGGTTTAGGGTTTGGACCAAAGTTCAAGGGCTCAAGGGTTTTCCAGGACATCCTCCCAATGGCCCTTTAATGTAGCCCTTATGGTCCTTACTCGTGGGTATTTAGGGTACATTAGAGGGTAGTTGGGGGGGTCTAAGTATTTGATTTTTGAGTTCAGGGTTTACAGTTTCGGATTGTGGAGCTTTCATTTTGCTAGGTTGGTTCTGTTTTCGGTTTAAACGGAGTTGTTGATCTGATACATATGTACATACATAGATATATGAGTATACATGTATTCAATGTGTGTATACATATATATATATATATATAAAGGTACACGTGTATGTATGTATGTATGTATGCATGTATTCTTAAGTTCCCATTACGTACTGCTTTGAGACGTGCCTCTTCAATGTCGGGGGCCCATTAAAGGAGCTAAATATTTCCCACTAAAATCCTGTACTGAATGTGGTTGAAATTTGGCACAATGCGGTTCAAATTTGCTCTTGCAGTTGCTCGCCTTGTTTCCACCAGGGTCACAAGATGCTCCCGAACACTGGGAAAATGTTTGCTTTTTTAGTTGTTCTTAGCTTTTCTTAGCCTTCTTTGGGAATTCCCCGTGGACTTCCGTTGGAATTCCGTGGCACCCCCCAGGCCCAAAACCAGGAAAAGTTTAGCTTTTTTTAGTTTCCTTTAGTATTTGTTAGTATTTGTTAGTATTTTTTAGTTGCTTTTAGTTTCTTTAGCTTTTGTTAGTTTTTGTGTAGCCTTTTTTCGTGTTTGTTATGAGCCATAAAAATCCACCGAAAATCCCACCAACATACAAATTAAAATGCCTGGCTGCCCGTGCCTGCAACCCCACCGCAACCCAGTCCTGCAAGCCTGAGCTCAACCCACCATAAAGTGATGAAACCCTGAGCCCCCTAAAACACACCAAAAGTCCTAAACCCTAAGCCCTAAAATTCCAAACCCACGGTCCGCCCCAAACCCTGGACCCTAGCTCGAACCCTTCAACCTCAAGCTGCAAGGCCACTCAGTATCAAGACATCAGCGAAGGAACTTCTTAGCCTTTTTCAGTTATCTTTGGGATGTTCTTAGCTTGTCATTGTTTTTGGCACAGAGCCTGAATCTCCATGGTTTTCAGGCGCGTTTCCCGTGATGGCAGAGAAGCATGCTTTGAAGCAGTATGTAACGGGTCTGTTTGATGTATGTATGTATGTATGTATGTATGTATGTACGTATGTATGTATGTATGTATGCGTGTGTGTGTATGCATGTATGTATGTGTATGTATGTATGAATGTATGCATGTATGTATGTATGTATGTATGTATGTACGCGCATATGTATATATAGTTGTAGTTGTATATGTATATGTATATGTATATGTTTATGTATATGTACATATGTATATATGTATATATGGACATCGAACACACACACACACATAGATATGTATTTATCTATATATGTACATCTGCCAAATAAGGGGCCTCATTACTTGCGGCAGAGAATGCTTACCGGCGAGGATTGGGTGGTGGCATGCAACGGTAACATTGCCGGCGACCAAGTGGGCCGAAAGTTGAGGGTTTTGTCGGCCCGGTTTTAGGGTTCAGGGCAACCCTAAACCACCTAAATCCTCAAGCCCCTTAACCCTACAGCCCACACCCCGAAACACTCCAAGACTAGGCAGGAAGCTAGGTACAGCGTCCTTGTGGTGGGACGTACTGTTGCGGAGCGACGGAATGTTTCGCCGCAGTTACGGGGCCTCTCCACTTCGGACATCCACTTGAACCGGGAAGCACCCTTAGCTCGAATCGCTAGCACCCTCAAACCACTGTAGCCCTAAACCCACAAAGTCTCTAAAGCCTTGCAACTGAAAACCCTAAGCAAGGTAAAACCCTAAAGCGCAGAAGCCCTGAACCCGAGAGGGCTCACGGGACTCCGGGTGCCTACACTTGCGGTTTTGGGTTTTAGATCTCCGGTTTCACCCTAAAACCTAAACCCTAAAGGTTCAGGGCTTGAGGTTTACGGGGTTGCAAAAGGTCTCGGGTTTTTCGAAAAGGGATTTGCAGGGTATGGTGTTGGGCATCTCGCATGGGTTTCCTCGTGCTACCTACAGTCTCTTGTTTTAGTTTAGAGTCTTGGTTTGAGGGTCTTCGATTACTGTTCTCGTGTGTATGAGGGTTTGGTTTAGGGTTTAGGACTTTAAGGGTAGGGTTTCGGGTTCAGGGTTTTGGGGGTTTAGGACTTTAACAGTTTTGGAAGTTTAGGTTTTTGGGTTTAGGGGTTTAGGGTTTAGGACTTTAAGGGTTTTGGAAGTTTAGGTTTTAGGGTTTAGGGGTTTAGGGTTCAGGACTTTAAGGGTTTTGGAAGTTTAGGGTTTGGGGTTCTGGGGTTTGGAGCTCAGAGTTGGGCTTTAGGGGTTTACGAGGGGTCGCTTTGACGGTTTGAGTTTTGTACTTTTTCGCAGGTGGGGTTTCTGAAGAAGATATAAGCACTAAATGCCAGACCCCAAACCCTAGACCCTGCCCTGAACCCTAAGCCCAAAACATTCAAGATTGCATTCGAAGCCCCAGCCCTGCACCGCTTCAGCCCCAAGCCCTCACAACACCACTAAATGCCCTGAACCCGAAAGCCCGAACGCAAAGCTGCGTTTGTGGAGCCGTACCGCCAGAGTGCCCGCGCTTTATGAAAGCAAACCGGGAGGCGTTTCGCGGGTCGGTGTTGCAGGGGCTTTCGGAGCTTGGCGAGTTTAGGGATTTGGGTTTGGGTTTGGTGGGTTTTTCGACGGCTTTGGGCTTGGTGGTTTACGTTTCAGGTGTACTTGAACGGCCTGAAGCCCAAGCCCTGCACCCTAAACCCCGAACTCCGCAAGCGCTGCCAGCGATGATCGTCAGGTCACGTTCCAGTCGGTACTGAACTTCAATCAGTGGCTCGTCAAGTCTAGAGATACATAGAAAAAACATAGGGCCGGAAGAACTACTAACATTATTCCCTTATGGTCCTTATGTAATAATGGTATAATGTATACCACCCCGAAAAACGATTCTGGCAACAAGGCCGCTACATCAGATTGCATGCAGGAGTTCCGCAGATGCATCAGCTCCTTCTGCTCACCTAAACACTACACCCCGAAACCATAAGCCGTAAATTTTGAATCCGAAACACAGAAGCCTAATATTTTTCAAGGCAGTGTTGCTTGACAGGATCACAGCGGCTCAGGTCTTGGGGTTTGAGGGTTTGGACTCGCGGATTATTGGTCCTAAACCCTAAACCCTGAACCCCAAGCCCTAAACCTCTAAACCCCAAAACCCTAAAGCCCTAAATTGGGAGTGTTACGGTTTTGGGCATGGGTAGTTAGGGCTTAGGGTTTAGGGTCTAGGGGAGAAGCACAAAAGGTGTGTGTGTGTGTGTGTTCCATTTTGTTGTAGCTGTCATCACTTGCCTTACTTCTGACCCTAAAGCCTAAACTCTATACTGTCTACGTTGAAGAAAAGTCAATACTGCCGTGGCCGTCTTTACCAACCATGGTCCAGGCCATTAGGTATCCAGGCTTGAAGGTCCCTTTGATATTTTTTTTGGGTTTGGGGTTCAGGGGTTTACGGGTTAGGGGTTTCGAGTTTAGGGTTTTGAAGACTCCCAACGTCCATGGGAACAAGCAGCTACGAAGGCAAAATGCAGAGCGGCCCCTACAACGAGTCTCAGTTGTTTCGGCTAACGAGGAACTTCGTCCTGAACGTCGTCGGAGCTGACCTGACCGGACTTGCTCCAACCCAGTGGCACCTTGGCTGATCAGTGGGCCTGCAACCGGTACAGGAGTAAGACAACAGTATCAGCAGCAGCCGAGAAGCATGTTAATCGCGATGGCCATGCAGCACAAGAGTAGATATAGCATTGGCGCCATAAGACGACGACTTCAGCGACAACAACAACAACGACCGCTGATGCTGATTTTTTCTCTTCCTCCTCCTCCTCCTCCTCCTGCTCCTCCTCTGCCTCCGCTTCTGCCTCTGCTTCCACCTCCTGCTACGACGATGACGTCGACGACGACCACGGCTATTTCTGCTGCTACGACGGTCCTGACGTTTGCCAGTGCTCGTCTTCAAGAATTCCGCACTTATTTGAATTCGTTCTCCCTTTCAGGCACCTTTAGGGTATATAGGTGGTTTGGGTTGAGAATTCAGGGTTTCGGGCGTAGGTTTGGAGCAGGGTTTAGAGTTTCGGGTTTAGAGGTCAGGGTTTACATTTAGCGTTTAGGGTCTCCCAAAACCCTAAAGGCCTGACCCTCAAACCCTAAACCTCAAACAAACCCACCCCTAAACCTAATTCTTGAAGGCTAAACGTCAACAGAAGCAGCCAACGGCTCGAGGAGTTAAGGTTTAGTGTTTTGAAGCGCCCCTAAACCCCGAGCCTTTCACACTTGACACGCAATGCGGTTTCGGGTTTAGGGCTTGGGGACCAATGTTATTCCTTCGGTTTCCTTACTCTGATAAAAGCATAATATACCCCCAAACCGTTTTCTCATCATAGTTGCCACGACAGTCGCCACTGACTCCGGCTGCTGAGCCGAACGTGGCACGTACGCCAGGACTTTCAACAACCAAGTCTACTGTGCATACCCCTTCGGCGTCTACGAGGTGCTTCCGTTTGGCGTTTCGGAGTGCGTGTTTGGAGCCTAAGCTCGTAAAATTACACCCCGAGCCCTAAACCCGCCCAAACCCTGCATCTTAAAGCCTTGGTCAAAGGCTCATGAAGAGTGTTGCTGGTGGGAAAGCAGACTTAGCGTCGGTTTTGGCCTAGGGCCTTCTTTGGCCCAGGTGCTGCTGGAGTTTGCCAGCGGCCTGGCAAAATGCAGAGCAAGACCTCCAAAAAGCCGCAGGGTGTTCAGGGTTTAAGGTTTTGGATTAAGCTGCCCTCCAAAACCCTAGACACCCAATCCTGCTTTTGATTATTGACCTTGAACCCTAAACCCTGGCTGCAAGGCAAAAGTGTAGCACATGTTAAGTTGGCCATGCAAACCCAACATACTTAAACCCCAGCCCAACAAAACTAAACCCCAACCCTCAGACCCTAGACCCTATGGAAATCCTGAAGACTTTATATAGGACTCACCCTAAACCCTAAACCCTACACCCAAAACTCAAGCCCTGATACCTAAACCCTATGGAAAAGACCCTTAAAATCCCTTCTGCGCATTCCCCTTACCTTTGGTTAGTAGGGAATGGAGGAATGGGGTACAATTATTACTACTTTTACTACCATTCTTCCATTCCCTACTAACCAAAGGTAAGTCCCGAGGTCTCTCCACCTTCACGGTGTACTTGTCCGAGGTCAGTAATGTGTCTCGGCCCTGTTCGGCGTTGGGGGTTTAGGATATAGAATTGAGGGCCTAAGCCCCTCAACCGTAAACCCCCCAAAATATGGCCAGGCTTAAAGAACGGTGCGGGCCTATAACTCAAATCCTAAATCCCTAAACCCTTATATAGCCCTTAACCCAAATCCCTAAACTCTGAAGCCTTCTACCCTAAACCCTTATAAATCCTAAAACCTTCCACCCTATACTCTATACACCCGAAGCTCAACTGTCTGAAACCCAAGGGCTGCGGCCACGGGGGACGGATCTGGAGTTGTTTTTTCTGCAAATTGGCCTTTAGTGGGGTCTGGGGTTCTGGGCCTAGGGTTTCGGGTTCGAGACTTAGCGTTTAGGGCTTAGAGCTTATGGCTTGGTGTCTTGTGGCTTGATTGCTTTCGGGGGTTTAGGCTTTAGGGTTTAGGGATTTCGGGTTCAGAGCCAGGTCAGGGCCTGGCTAGGGATTTAGGGTGTAGGGTTTCCGGGGGCTGCATTTCCGGTCTAGGGGGTTTAGCAAACCCCAAGCCCTAAACCCCGGGGCTTGAGGGTTTCTAAGTTTGCAGCCGGCGCTGGCTTGGTCCAAGATTTGGAGTAGGAGGTTCTCTACCTGTGGTGATTGGCCTTTCACTCAAAGCACCGGCTCCGAGTCCTACTACTACTACTACTACTACAACAACAACAACTACTACTACTACTACTGCTAGCAATACTACTACTACTACTACTACTACTACTACTACTACTACTACTACTACTACTACTACTACTACTACTACTACTACTACTACTACTACTACTACTACTACTACTACTACTACTACTACTACTACTACTTCGACGACGACTACTACTACTACTACTACCACCACCAATAGTGCTACTGCTGTTAAATGCATGCTGCTCTACTGCTATTTCTACTTTCCGCTTCCTAGTTGCTATTGTATTTGCTACTTCGTACTTTGTGGTTGCTCCTTGCTACTTCCGGCTCCCCACTTCCTGCTTACTCGTCGCTGGGGAGCGCCTAGCAAGGGGTTTATAGTCTTGGGATGCATACAAGGTTCCTTGCACTTGCTGTCGCCACAAGCTTTCAGGTGCAAGAATCGCGACCCTGTCAAATTCAACAGCTGCTGCGGCAAGACTACGAAAACCCTAAATTTGAATTTGGAATTTGTGTTTGCCAAGGCGCGGACAACCGCCCAAGGAGTCTTCGTTGAAGGCATGAATTGCCAAAACACGGCCAGTCCTTTTCCCGAGGCGGGGGAAGTCTGTGTAAGGTCCTAAACACTTTTGGAGTGGTGGTCAAAATTAGGGCCCCTTTTTGGCACCTAATATTTAAGGTACCCAACAAGGGACCATAATTTTGACAACCACCCTTTGGGTTAGCGGGTTTACGGCCTGGGGCTTTAGACCTCGGGGTTTGGGGCTGAGTGGCGGAATGGGGTTTAGGGCACCCAAGATGCAAAACTTGACACGGATGGCAGATTTACCAGGCTGCATCGGGCTTCTCTGTTGGAGAGTGTACGATTGATCTCTGCTGGCGAATGGAGGGTTCAAGGTTTGGGGTGCCGTGTTCGGGGCTAGATTTACCCCGACCTCAGAGCCAAAAAGACATGGCGGGTGGGGTCGTGCGGATCTAAACAAGGGCCCGTAATGATGACCTGTCATCATTTTGGAGGTTCCTTTTTCTAACACTGGTCCAATGGGCCAAAAACCCTATTCAAATTATTGAGGCCCCGACGTTATCGAACCCTACTAAAGATCCCTTATAGGAGCCCTTATAGACCCCGGAGAAGGAACCCTATTCTAACTATTAAGGCCCCTATACTAGGATCAGGGTTCACGGTTTAATGGATGGCTTGGGGTGTGCCCCCCCGAAGGCGCTCATGAACTCCGAGGAGCATCGTGACCCTAAGCCCTGAACCCTGCACCCCGAACCAAGAGCCCCAAACCTTAGGGCCCAAATCATTATCAACATTATTCTTAGTGGTCCTTATATATTATATTTGTAGTTTAACATAACCCAAAACACCATTCTAATCGTTATTATCATTACTATTACTATTATCGGTATTATTATTATTATGATTACTATTATTATTAAGGTCCCTATATTACACCCTGGGATGCTGAACCGAAGGAAGCCTTGCCCCGCAGTAGCCGCGAGATCATCGAACTGCACGGACGGAGTCCCTAGCCCAATACAGAATACCTTAGAAGGGGCCCCCACCCTGTAATAGTGACTATAAGGATTATATTAGGGCCCTACTATATTCCTATTCTACCACTATTACAGGGTGGGGGTCCCTTCTGAAGAATACCCCAAACCTGCAAACCCAACCCCCCTCCCCCCTCCCGAAGCCCTCAACCCAAAGCCTCAAACCTAACGGTTGAGGGTATAGGGCAGGGCTTAGGGTCTGGGGTTAAACCCCTAAACCCTAAACCCCTAAACTCTAAACCCAGACCACCTAAACCCCAAAATCTAAACCCTAAACCCCTAAACTCTAAACCCTCAACCACCTAAACCCCAAGCTCTAAACGCTAAACCCTAAATAGCGCAGGGTTGAGGGGTGTCAGACCGAGCCTTATAAGGCTGAGTAGGGGAGCCGCAAGAGGGAGCATAAGTGACAGCACTAAGCGAAGCCGGGTTAAGGGTTTGGGGTTTAGGGTTTAGAGTCTAGGGGTTCAGGGTTTAGGGTTTGGGGTGTGGGGTCTGGGGTTTAGAGTTTAGGGTTTAGGGTTTGTGTGGAGTTTAGGGTTTCTAGGCCTCAAACCCCAAACCCCTGCCTTGTCGGCCGGGAGCCTGGCCCCTTTAACCTATAGTCTCATCACTATAGTTGTAAGAATTTGTTTTCTTTTTTGGTTCATATGGGTGGTTGTCCAAACTATGGCCCCTTTTTGGGTACCATAAACTTGTCATTGTCGTGCCGTATTATCATAAGTACCCCCCCAAAAAGGGACCATAATTTTGACAACCACCCATGTAAAACTCAAGAGAATAGATAAAACCACACCATGTCGATTAGGGTTCTAAGGGAGGGGGTATAGATTAAAGCCTGCGACCCAAAGGCCCGAGCCCGAAAAGTCAGAATCATCCGAGACTCCTAAACCCCTTTAAGGAAGAAACAAGAAGCTTGAGTTGTAATAGGAATCAGGAGGAGAATATACCTTAAGTTGTAGTAGGAACCACAATATGCGAATTCAGGCACCCTAAATCCTGAACCCTAAACCCTGAACCCATTTTTTAGGGGTTTTGGAGTCTCTGGGCCTTCGAAGGCTACGACTACCACCTCCACCACAACCACCACGACGCCCCCGCCCTTGGAAGTGTGTGCTTCTGCCGCAAGTCTTAGGGTTTCGGGGTTTAGGGTTAGGGGTTTAGGGGTTTAGGGTTTAGGGGTTTAGGGAACTCAAAACCCTACACCCTATCTTAGTCCAACTTCCCTAGGCTCCTAAAGGCCACTCGCCTAAGCGAGAGTTATCTCTTCGGTTTTTTCCTTTGAAATGAGGTCTTTACGGGTGTCGGTCAGGGTGGTGGAGCTTGGGGCTAAGTAACTAAGACCCAAAATTTCCTAAACCCTGGACCCTAAATTCTATTGCGCGTGATGTCTGTGGCCTTGCATCCCCTCAACCCAAGGGAATCGCTCAGGGTCCAACGGGTTTAGGGTGTAGGGATGTTCAGGGGTTAGGATTGATGTGACCCTCATAGACCACTAACAATAAACCGGACTATTCGCCCAGTTAGGGCAAGGGTCTTCCTCAGCCCTCTAGAGTTGCAGCACACTCTACCGCCACCATCTTCTTCGGCCTGATCACAATGTTATGTGAACTCCCGTCAGTGACCCTGGCCTACATGACCAGGTACCCCTGAACTCTAAACCAAATCGTCAGCCCTAAAGAACCGACATGACGGCCATAACCTGCTCATTTTTGTAGGGCCCGGACCGATCAAGTCTAAACTATGACTATGGACAACTATGAAATGCCCGGAAGCCCGAAGCCCTCAGCCCCTAAACCCAACACCCCCTAAACAGAGAGAGCCAAAAAAATCCCCACAGAGTCTTAACTCCTCAGCCCAAAGCGGCAGCCCTACTTGGAGGATCATGGGACTTAGTAAGTAGGGTTATAAGTACTGTAATTGGGGTTACAAGTAATTGTAAGTACAGTTACCTTAATTGTAACCCTAGCTACTAAGCCCCATGATCCTTTAAGTACTACTTAGGCAACAGCACTCCATGGAACTGCTCCGATCAGGCCACTCCGCAATGGCATGTTCAAGTCCACAGGGCTCAGGGTTTTATGGCTGTAGGGCTTTAGGGTTTCATTTTAGGGATGTTGCTTTTGGTCATCGGTTTTTTGTTTTTATACGGCTTTAGGGATTTTAGAGTTTAGGCTGTACTGATTATTTCCGCGTAACGGCCTTCTCAGGAATCTCACAGATTTTTCAGATTTCTTCCCTAAGCCCTAAACCGATCGTTGACGTCACAGTTTTTGCGGGTTGGAAAGGTTTCAGGATAAGGTACTCGGGATCAGGGTTTGATTCAAAGCATCGCATGTTCGGACGGCTTTGTCCCTAAACCTTCCAACATCTGCAAGCCGTATGTTTAATCTTCAGCCAGTCTCAGCCCGTGGCTACAGACCCGAAGCCGCCAAACTTCGACTCTTATTACTATTACTATTACTATTAATTACTATTACTATTACTATTACTATTACTATTACGATTACTATTACAATTAGCCTGTTGAGGCTAAATTCCAAAAGCATTTTTGTTTTCTTCGGGTCAAGGGATGTCGAGTTTATGGGTTTAGGGCTTGTGGTGTTTGAGCTAAGGTTTAGACCCCCTAATGAAACCCTAAACCATTAATTGACCTTATGTTGGACTTCCTGACAATGTCAGACAGTCTGGGTAGACATAGCACTTAGCGACCAAAACATCTGAAGCCCCAAGCCATTCCAACATAAGGGTGTAAGTAGGGTTTGGGGTTTTAAAGTTAAGTGGGGTCTGGGATTCCTGCATCCTTCTGCAAGGCCCTACAGCTGATCAATGACATATCAGACGGGCAATGCGTCGGGTCCACCATCCAAGCTCTCAATCTGACGACAGGGGAGTACGAGTGCCTCAGAGCCATAGATGAGATGCAGCCGATGTTAGGGGCCAGGGATAACAACGCCTTATCTTTTGCCGGGTCATAATAATCATATGTCATTTCATTCATGGCCCCTCTCCCCCAAGCCTTAAAATCCAAGCCCTAGCCCAAAATTTGCGAACCATCCGCTACGAAAGAGGTCTACAGCGGTGAATGGGGGTGTTGTTCTCAAGATCTGGGGCTCGTTTATGGGCGCCCATACCCTAAACCCTAAGCCTTAAGCTGTAAAAAAATCGACTATGTAGGGCTATACTGAGGCCCGCCGCAGTTCTGGACACTTGCAAAGCTAGTAGTATGGATCCTTTCGATGTACGTGGGGTTTAGGGTTGTTTGTATGTTCTAAGTGCCGCAGCTATGCAATATAGGGGCCTAGATGAATGGAATAGGTGTTGCATGTGTTTTGGCATGGTTTTTGCAGCGACTGTCAGGGCAGATTACCACTCGTTTCTCGGACCTTTATAAAAACGGGCTTTGAACCTTCGCCCACATACTGAGACTAACCTTACACAACCCTAAATTCAATCCTAAACCCCCACCCCACCCTTCAACAGTAGCCGAAGCCTGAAATACTCACAAGAGATATTCTCGGAAGTCGAAAGCACAAGACCCTAATAAATAAACATATATATATATATATACATATATAGTAGCCTAAATAGTGGGATCCTGATTATAAGGACTCCAAAATAAGATACCCCTGAGTTTCGGATACCAACCATATGGATTATGCCGTAACCTGGCTCATGGTTTGAGGGTTTGGGTTTTGTGTGGCAATACCGGTTCCCGAGTAAGTGGTATTGGGGGTTCCGTATAAGGATCCTAAATGATCCTGATATTTCGGGGTAATATGACCAGGGTTCCTTAATCAGGCTTCTACAAAAGGCTGTCTGTACCTCAGCCCATTCGTCGCTGTAGCCGCCTGCAAAATCCATCAACGTAAAGGCCCAGCATATATTCCCTAAGCTGCCATGAGATCCTTTCCGAATCTTTCCGAGGGACCCTTATCAATGGCAGAAACGCAGAGATCCTTCTAAGCCGTAAAGCCCTGTATTTAAGCCTCTAGATCATAGAAATTAAAGGTTAATTTGAGCCCGAAACCCGTACTCAATTTTCAATGCGAGATTGAGACCTAGATCCGCACAAAAAGCTTGAAAACCAGAGCAATCAACTCCCCCGGAAACCCTGAGCCCTAAACCCTAAATCCCTGAAGCCTAAAACCCTAAACCCTAAACCCTACCCAAAACCCTAAATCCCTCAACCCATCCCAGGGTCCTTTGCCAATTCCCGGGCGAATGCTTCAACGCTTGCGGCATCCCGTCCTTCGAAATTAAAGCTGGGTTTGGTGGGTTAAGGTACTTGAAGGCTCATGGGACTTAGTAAGTAGGTTACAACTAGGATACCTCCACTTAGGGGACTAATATTCTCCGGGTTCCTGGTACCCTCTTGCCATTTTTTGGTATATGGGTGGTTGTCAAAATTAAGGTCCGTTATTGGGTACCCTAAATACTAGGTGCCGTATGATAACAGGGACCCAAGAAGGGACCATAATTTTGACAACCACCCATATGGTTCCCTTATTGGAACTGAATACCAGGGAAAAGGGTACTTTCAGTATTAAGGGGACACTGGGGAACCTAGTTTTCTAAACAGGTTTCTACGAGGGTTTCTGTAAGGGGGGGGTTCTCCAAGGGGTTCTACAGGGGATTTGAAGTTTCGGGAAGGAGCTCGTGGTTGTATTCACCCTGAGGCTCTGCGGACTCACGTGAGGCGTCTTTTGAGCAGAAAGACCCCACTGCAGAAGCCTTTTGGGCTTTCTTGGCCCTTACAGTAAACCCCATAAAGTTGGACACCGCATTGAGGCCAAATAGTGCTGGGATTCCTTACACATTACTCTTTAGGATTGAGGCTATTGGGTTTCCAACTTTTGGGCTTCTACTGTAGAGTAACGGATTCAAGATCCGATTGTTATGGTAAGGACATTACATTACAAAGGAACATGATATGCCTCAAAAACCTAGTCTAACCATTAAGGTTTAGGGTTTAGTGTTTAGGGACCCGGCTGAAGCTAAGGAACGCCCAGAACAGAACAATGGAAACCGTTCATCTCGGCACACCGGAGGAATCAACCCGATCGACAACACGAGCTACTGCCTCACGCAGGATGATCAGTCTGGGTTTTTTGATGGGAGGTTGAGGTGTTCAGGTTTTAAGATTTCTGGGTGGCAGAATTAAGACGTTGGGTTATAGGGTTTTAAGAATTATATAGGAGTCAAGAGCTCGGGCTTTAGAGGTAATAGGTTTCAAGGGGCGTGCTCAGTGCGCTTATGAAGAGGGAGCAAAACCCACTAGTGTTGTAGGACCGGCCCCCTTTTTTTGTTTTTCTTCTTCAGGCCGGATCGGCTTTGGTTTGGCTTGGCTTGGGCTTGGGCTTGGGCTTGGGCTTGGGCTTGGGCTTGGGCTTGGCCTTGGGCCTTGGCCTTGGCCTTGGCCTTGGCTTTGGCTGGCTGGGCTTGGCTCGGCTTGGCTTGGCTCTACGTGGCTTCTCGCGGCTTTGCTTGAAGCATGGCACCCCGAGGCAAGCCGAATCGAACAAAAAGACTCCGCCACTGGCTCGGCGTTTTCTTTCCTGTGTGCAGCTTGCCTCGGCGCGACGTTCGGTTTGGCTTGCCGGCTTGACTCGGTCGGCTTTGGTTTGGCTCGGCTTGGCTTTGCTTGGGGCGTAAATGTGTCTGCGTGCTCTCTCTCTCTCTCGCTCTCTCTCTCTCTCTCTCTCTGTGCGCCGTTCCTTGCGTCCGCCTGCTGCAGCTACCCAGGGTCCTCCGGCCCAAGACTCATCAACCAGGTCGCGAAGATGCCTGGCTCAAGGCTACTGCGAAGGTTTGCGCTGCTGGGCATGTTCATGAGCATGTTCGAGTGGTTTTGGATGTTCTGGATGTAAAGGGATTTCAGATTTCCATCGTGCATGGTCAAGGCACAGAAGGTCGTGAAGGCACTGCAGACCGGCGGCTGCGTTTTGGACACCCCGGACGGCATGTCTTCTCACTATGTCGTCCGCGGCCTGTGCGGTGAGCTTGCGGATGAGCTGGGCGAAAGCACCAGCATCATCCTCAACTACAACTCCAGCATCTCCCAGCCTATCGGGGGCATGATCTTCCGACAGGCGGACAACGGGGCCGAGGTCGGGTTGGATAAACTGCCAGCAAGCCTGGTGTGCATGGCTCTCTCTCTCTCTCTGTCTCTGTCTCTGTCTCTGTCTCTCTCTCTCTCTCTCTGTCTCTGTCTCTGTCTCTGTCTCTCTCTCTCTCTCGCCCTCTCGCCGTGCCCGTAGAATTATCTTGCTGTTGTAGGATGCATACGAGAACTGGATACTGGACCTGGCCATCGAGGCACGTTCCTTCAAACTATCTTCATAACAGCATGACGTGCCTTCAGACCAGGAAACTTCCTCCAGTGGCCTGCACATCCATATGCCGTGGTGTCCCGGCCCCCTGAAAGTAGTTAACGACCCAAAGATTGCACTGTTCTGCACAGGTCCGGAAGGGGGGTGTGGCGGCCGATGTGTGGTACCAACAGCTCCACCACACGGACTCAATCCATAAGAAGGTGTACCGACGAGGGCTCAGGAATGACTGCAACAAACTGCAGTTGAAACTGCATTACATCCACGACAGGAGAGCGAATGGTGTTCAGGTTCGACGAGCGCTCGCCGGCCTTCATCCACCGGACGTCGAAAGCGGGTGTTCCAAGCGCATCCTTCCGATCGCATCACTGCTGCGCCTGTGTCCGGATGGGTCATGCTTGGATGTGGCCTTGGAAACCGCGCAGCGATCGAACGAGCCGACTCCGGGCCGTTGAGCTGCATGCTACTCCAAATGAAGCCGGAACACTCCCTGACACTACTCCGGCCAGATGCAGTCCCCCCCTCTCTCTCTCTCGCGCGCGGTGCCCGTAAGAATTATTTAGCTGCTGTAGCATACGAGAACTGGATACTGGACCTGGCCATCGAGGCACGTTCCTCTTCAAACTTTCTTCATAACAGCATGGCGTGTCTTCAGACCAGGAAACTTCCTCCAGTGGCCTGCACATCCATATGCCGTGGTGTCCCGGCCCCCTGAAAGTAGCTAACGACCCAAGGCATTCACTATTCTGCACAGGCGATGTTTATCCGTTGGCTCGTGCCACGGGTCGCTGGCGCCGACGAGGGCTGCAAGATCAGCATTACATACACGGAAGGAGAGCGAGTGGTGTTCAGGTTCGACGAGCGCTCGCCGGCCTTCATCCACCGGACGTCGAAAGCGGGAGTTCCAAGCGCATCCTTCCGATCGCATCACTGCTGCGCCTATGTCCGGATGGGTCATGCTTGGATGTGGCCTTGGAATCCGCGCAGCGATCGAACGAGCCGATTCCGTGCACACAGGAGCTTTTGGACTGGGCCGCTGAGCTGGTTACTATTCCAAGTGAAGCCGGAACACTCCCTGACCCTACTTTGGCCAGATGCAGTCCAGAATGCTAGGTCCCTGCCCAGATCCTGCCTTATAAGCCACCCGCATTTGGCAAACTCCAACAAAGGCAGCTGCTTTTACGGCATTGGAACATTTTGTCCCTTGCCATGACTAGGCACCCGGCGACCTTGCTTGCACCGTCCACGCGCGACCCAACTATGCTGTCCTCTCACCTGCGCGGCAGAGACTGCTTGCATGACGCAGGTCATTGCCCCCCAACCGACCCTGCCGACGATGACTGGAGGCAGCGTGGCAGCATAGCAGATGTTGTCTTCGACGTGTTCGATTCCGACAGCCCAGCGTCACCGGCTAGGCAGAACCGAGCTCGTGAAGAAAACAGTAGCTTGGCACTATGTCCTCTGCCTTTAGCCAGGCCGAGCCGAGCCAGGCCAAACCAAAGCCGAGCTGCACCGAAGAAAAAGCCTCCGCCTTGTAGGACGATTCAGCTTACTTACTTGCATTGTTATCAGTAACCTGCACATATGTCCCCAAGCCAAGAATCTAAACCCTGACAACGGTAGGTGACTTATTCACAATGACCCTTAAGCAAGCAGGACAAGGTAAAATTTAGTTTGAAGCCCGACTGGAGACCCCCTATCAATAATCGCTTCACCGACTCTTTCCAGAACAAGACTCAGAATCCTACTGGTGAGTCCCTGGCCGGGGGTTGCGAATCAGAGTCCTACCTTAGATCACCACCCTACAACACACTCAAACCTCAACCACGGCATTTGGATTGTATTTGCGAAGTTTTGGTTGCTTTGCGGTGTCGGCTTTCTTTCAAACTGGGGGCACTTCCGATTTACAGGTTAGGGGTCTTGCAGCAATTGGATAGAAACGGCATTCCTAGGGTTTTTTGTGCGGCCTCATGGCGACTATCTCGCTGCCAATGTCGGACGAACGACGGCCAATTTGATGCCCCAACCCTCCAGCCGGATCGCCGGATCCCAAAAGCTGTAAACCCGACTGCGCAACACCCAAAAATAAAAAGTTTTGGGTAGGCCTTTTACCCTTTCCAAGGCGCTTTTCTCCGGCACTCTGTTGTGGATTCTTGGGGTTCTTGCTGAGGTCTGAGGATTTAGGGTTTAGGCGCACTGTTGTGGATCTTGGGGTTCAGGGCTGAAGCGCTTAAAACACCAAAGCAATGGGAGATCTAAGGTGAATCACGGTGTATTGGGTTAGACGGTCAGACATTACATCATTATGTGGCTACTGAACTAGATTGTATTTAAGGAGCTGGAGCCCTAGCGGGTATCATTTATCACATTATGCTATTTTGTTTCATAGGGCCCACTCATAGGGCCCGTGATACATGAACTGAGCCCTTCTCCCATGGCCTTTAAAGGCTCTTCTTCGTGAAGGGGTATTAAACCGTAATACAACCTTTTACGCAACCTAAGAAATGCTTTGTAGAACGCTTTAAGACATTGGTAAGCAAAAACAGCATGCTTAAGCCTGAAGCCTTAAACCTACAACCCTTGAAACCCTGAAGTCTAAACTCTATAGATCTTCATATGGGGGACCTGGGGATTCTCTGGAGGAGGGAGGAACCACGAGCCTCTCGGACCGAGCCGGTATCGCGAACTTGGAGCTTCGCTGTAGCCAGAAAAAGCTGCCATCTTTTGGATTCCTCAGGGTTTAGGGGTTCCCAATGTTGGCGTGACTGTATGTATCCTCGAAAAAGGTAGTCGTTTTGGGCTGCAGGTGACGGCGTAAACAGCCACCCCCACAGAAAATTTGAGAGAGAGAGAGAGAGAGAGACGCAGGCACAGAGACAGACACAGACACAGAGACAAGCACACATGTAGGCCTGCATGCGCGTGGTGTAACGTTTGGGAAAAGATTTAGGTGGACGGGGCTTGTGGAACTGGACCTTGATGATTCCGGTCTGGTACATGTATTTCATGCTTCAAAGTCTGGAGGATCTTCGGTTTCTGGGCATCTGGGTTGTTTCGTTGTTACGGTTAGGGCATGCCCTATACCCTAAACCGAGCATAGTTTTCGGGGCTTAGGGACCACACGCAGGTTCGGATTTATTCAAAGACGAGCCAACATCTCTGACATCTGTAAGCTGGCATCAGCTCACCTCAGCAGCCCCGTAGTGCGTCTTCAAGGCAGGAGACCCTTTAAACTGTAAACCACAAGCACTCATCCCCTGAACCTGAACAGCCTGAGCACCACAGCTGATCCACAGGCGCGTATACTGACACAACTCCCGAATCCCTCCTCCCCCTCCAAGCACTGGAAGAACACCGGCGCATCGTAGCATGTGCGTGACATGTGGGTTTGATGTAGATGTCTGAGTGGTCAGCAGTAGTATACCGATATCGGGGCTCGACAGAGTTGCATAAGGTCTTTTCCACATTTACAAGCGCAAGCCTGTCGCCACAATCCCAACCTGAAACAGCCCTTAGCCTTCAAGACTCAATACCTGAGGCCCCACAAGCCCTAATGCCCAAAAGCAAGCAGCTACCCCTAGCCTGAAAACCACCGATTCTTTACAACCTTATGGATCTTTGGACCCTATTGTAGATAGTACGGCCCCTATACCATCCGAGGCTACCTAACTCGGCTCACCTGTCCGATCGGTGACGGATGCATGGGCTTTGATGGACTTGACGATTTTGTTAATGAATATGCAGTGTATCGGTTTGTGCAGGGGCCTCATTATGGGGTTTCGGTTTCTCGTGTTAGGCATGGCATGTTTTGGGATCCCTACAGAAATCAAGGATCTACTGCTTGGGCTTCCATCTCGGGGTCCGCCATTTTCTGAGACTCCCTTGAGTTTGAGGCTGCCGGCCTGAAGACTTGTGACGGCTGTTTTGGGGGAACTTTGGCCTTTTTAGACAAGGTTACTCTTCACTTCTAAGCCCGAAACTTTGAATTAAGCGCCCAAGCCAGAGCCATCAGACCCTTGATCTACAGCCCCAAGCAAGGCCAAAGCAGTGGACCTCTGAACCCTAAGCCCTAAACCGGCAGATTTGAACCTCGAAGGCCCAAGCGCGATGCTACCCATCACCGCAACTCGAGGATGACTAAACCCTAAACACCTAAAGGCGTAGTATAGGGGCCCTAACAGTTACCAATATGAATTTGGGGGTTCCTTAATGTAAGTATAGTATAATGGGCCCCACAACCCTCTTCCAACTGTTATTGTAGACCCCCGAGGGTGTATGGTTGAGTGTTGATGCTTTTGTTGAGAAAACCCACCGAAGGATCCCCCAACAGCTCCCTCCAAGGATCGGGGCCCACCATGGGGGAAGCATGCTTCCTAGGATTGACTTTTGCCATCCAGATGCACTCAGAGGGTGCTGAGGCTTCAAGGCATAGAGGTCGCTGTAGGGTTCAGGGCTTAGGCTTGGTACAATATTGGGTGGTTGTCTGTATTAGGGTCCCTTTCTGGATCCTTGTTATAATAAGGCGCCCAATATTTAGGGTACCCAAAAAGGGACCAGAATTTTGACAATCACGGACGTGGGTCTGAATGTATTGCGGTGTTCCTTAGGGGCTTAGCGTTCCCCGTTTGTCTCGTGTTAGAGCATCATGTACTCCAAAGCCAGGTTTCTACTTTGTAAGGCTACGAGAGCTCGTGGCTTCATTCAGCAGGGATTAGACTACAGGTTCGGGGTGTGTAGGGCGCAGGCTTTTGAGGTTGGGGTCGTGTTCGAAGGCTGGTGAACCGTCTGTGTTGGCTTCTGTTCAGTTTACATGGCCCTGTTCCGTGTTTGGCCACCTTTACTGTAATTCATGGAGACTTGCATAGTAGCCCGGCAGATACGACTTAATGAAATGCCAGGTACAGAGTTTACCACATGTCTCCTGCCTTCATCCGGTGTCTATGGGGTTGCTGTGGTTGGTAGAGTGCAACCGCAACTCGGGTCTTGGAGTCCAGGGCAACTGCTAGAATATTACGACCTAGGCGCTCTACGGTTGTTGGCTGAAAGCCGAAAGTTTAGGACTCTAGTATACTCTGGTTGTTCTGTTGAAGTGCGTTTCGCGGTATTCGTCTTCTCTTCTCAGGGGCTAGGACTGTAAAGGTCTTGCCGACCGCATTTGGGTCCTGGCTGCCAGCCCACTTTTAAAAAACCCTAAACCCTAAACCCTGTGGGCAGGGAGTTGGCAGTGCGAAAGTCCCAATGCACCCTTAAAAAAACCCTAAACCCTAAAACCCTAAATCGCTAACACCACAACAGCGATTTATTGATTTTTCGAGTGCAGCGCGTGGGGTGCAATACCAGCGGAGGCCGAAAGGAGACATAAATGAAGGTTTGCTACAAGGGCATGTTAGGGTTTAGGATTTAGGGTTTATTAGGGTTCTGAATGATTCCCGAATACATTAGGGGAAAAAGCTGCCCACACAAAAACTGTGTAATTATTTGGGCTCGGTTGGTTTACAAGTAGCCTCCAATGGTTTCTTGGATCATGGGGCGCTGGGGTTCTAGGGAGTCTTATGAAGCTGAAAACGTCGAGCTTAACTGCTAATTTTTGATTGACGCAACCCTGCAAGATCTAAAGACCTAAAGCACGCAAGCGTGTATACTTCCGACGAATATGGGCACTTAAATATCGTTCTTTGCCCTTGAAGCTGAAATACCCTAAACCCTGAAACCCATCCGCAAGGCATCCGTGGCCGCGGGTTTTGAGCCAGAGAATGGGACCTTCGCCGCGAGACGCAGTGAGGGGGACATTGAGGGGCGTCTCGAAGGGGCTTGGTTTAGGGTTTAGGGGTTCAGGGCTTAGAGTTTAGGGGCCGAGGGTTTAGGGTGTAGGGTTTCTATACGGATTCGAAAGGATTTTCCATCCAAATTACTCGCCACTGGAGGGTTCTGCGAGGTTTTTGGAAGGTTCCGATAAGAGCACAAAAGAGTTTTGGAGCAACTTGGGGATTCTCTGGTAGGTTTAGGGTTCTGGCTCTGGATGTTCTAGGTTTCGGGTTTATTTTTCAGGCATGGGGTTAGGGTTTAAGATTTAGGGTTGACGGTTCAGGGTTCAGGAGGACTTGGTTTAGGGCTTTCGCTCGGAGTTGTTCGGGGCTGCACCTAGTGTGGTTTCGGGTACCGGAGCGAACCCTAACATGGAGCAATATCGCCACGACTCATATTCTCCAAAAATACAAGGAGGGACCCTTGCCGCAGTCGCGGAAGTGGAAGAAAGGGGGACCGTGATAATTCACGGTGGCAACCGTGGGTTTGGCTCAGCCAGCCTGCGGTCTGCCAAAGGGCACTGACGCAAGCCCTGTGCCATGGCAAGTTTGGCGTGCAGGGCCACCTGAGTGATGGTGGCTGGATCAGCGTTTCTGATCTGGCCAACCGGTTGCAAATCACCTCAGCCGCGATCGAGGCGGGTGCGGCCTCAGATCTCGAAAATGCGGCAGGTGGTCGCGAGAAGCAACGTCTGGACCCTTAATATAGCTATTATATACCCATTATATAGCCCATTATAGGGTAGGAGTCCCCATTAAGGGTCCCTCCTTTTCCCCTTTGAAAATCAACACCCCTGAACTTAAGCGGCCCCAAACCTGAAGCCAACAAGTAGTGATGGTTGTGCACTCATCGCAGCATATACATGAGGGTTGTTCTAAATTATGGTCCCTTTTTGGGCCCTATAGTAGTATAGTCCTTATTATAAAGGGTACCCCAAAAGGGACCATAATTTAGAACAGCCCCCACATGCGCCCTGTGGGCAGTTCGGCTTCAACCCCTGGTTTCAGGTTTGGGGTTTCTGCAGCTGCAGTTCCAGCAGTCTCCAGTCGAACTCATTGGTATGGGATTAGGGTTTAGGGTTTAGGGTTTAGGGTTTAGGGTTTAGGGTTTAGGGTTTAGGGTTTAGGGTTTAGGGCCCACCCAGAAGTTTCAATAACACCCCAAAAATTCTAACACCCAACGCCCAAACATTCCAACAACCCCAAGACAACCCCTAAACCCGAAACTCTAAACCGTAAAGCCTCAGCCCTAAACCCTAAACCCTTAACCAGCTTACGTTTCTGTTCTATTGAACCCTTGGGTTCGAGGGTCCAGGCCCCAGGGTTCTAAGCTTCAGGTCCGAAGGTTTTCCTTGGAGGATCATGGGACTTAGTAAGTAAGGTTTAGGAATCCTTAAAAGCGATCCTTAAAGGGTTCCGAAAAGGGATCTATAGGGTTTAGGGTCTACTTGGAGGATCATGGGACTTAGTAAGTAAGGTTTAGGAATCCTTAAAAGCGATCCTTAAAGGGTTCCTTAAAGCGATCTATAGGGTTTAGGGTTTAGGGTCTACTTGGAGGATCATGGGACTTAGTAAGTAAGGTGTAGGGTCCCTTTCAATAAGGGTACTATAGGGTTCCATAATAGGGTTCCTTAAAGGGATCTAGAAGGGTTCTACAATGGGAGGATCATGGGACTTAGTAAGCAGGGTTATAGGTACTTTAATTGGGGTTCTGAGTACAGTTACCTTAATGGTAGCCCTAGTTACTAAGTCCCATGATCCTCCAAGTAGACCCTAAACCCTAAACCCTTATAGCACCCCTATAGATCCCTTAAAAGGGACCCCTATATCCCTAGTTACTAAGTCCCATGCTTTAAGTAACCCTAGGGTTGAAGAGTTCACACCCGGACCTTAAACCCTAATGTAGGAGCCTTAGTGCTTAAAATAGGGTTCCTTAAGGGGTCCTTTAAAAAGGGTCTGTAGGGGATCTATAGTAGGGTTCTATATTACAGGCCTTCTTAGTTGGAATAGGGTTCTGGGGGTTGCTTACTATACTTATGGTATAATATACCCCGAAACCCTATGCTAATTATTAAGGCCCCTATATCAACCCTGAACCCTAAAGCCTTAACCCTAAACTACAGTATCCTTAGGGATTAGTTGCATTTTTGTTCATATGAAACCCAAGAGACTAGTAAGCACACTCTTTCTGTAAAACTTCTAAGGGCCCTAAACCCTAAACCCTAAACCCTAAACCCTAAACCCTAAACCCCTAAACCCTAAACCCTAAACCCTAAACCCTAAACCCTAAACCCTAAACCCTAAACCCTAAACCCTAAACCCTAAACCCTAAACCCTAAACCCCTAAACCCTAAACCCTAAACCCTAAACCCTAAACCCTAAACCCTAAACCCTAAACCCTAAACCCTAAACCCTAAACCCTAAACCCTTAACCCAGGCCTCTAGCGGTCTACGGTTCAGGCCCTCAGTTCGAGGGTTCAGGTCAAGGGTTCCGGCCCTCGGAGTCTTTGATTCAGCCGTTTCGGGGTTTCGGAGTTTCGGGGTTTAGGATCTTGGGGCTTAGGGTTTATCTTAGATCCTAGCCATTCCTGGCCCCAACATGCTCAGGAAGCCACCCTGATTCCCGAACCCTAAGCCTTTAACCCTGAAGACCTCAAACCCTAAAACCCTATACCTTAAACCCTCAAGCCCTCAAGCCCTAAACCCTAAGCCTTAGACCCAAAAGCCTTAACCGATAGAAATCCTCTTGTTTTGCGCCTGCCGGCTTGACGAGGCCTTCGTTTCAACCGTTCTCTACACGCAGGACGGTCGGAGCCTCGTGGGGGGATTCTCTGAAGGTTCCTGTAAGGGATCCATAAGGGTTCTTTTCAGGGTTCCTTTCAGGGCTTTAAGGGTTCTTTCAGGATTTCATGAGGATTCCAATAGGTTTCATGAGGGTCCTGGCTTTGGGGAGTGCTTCAAGGGTGTTTATGAGGGTTCTAGTAGGTCTTGCAAGGGCTTAGAGGGCCCCTTTCGGAGTCCCGTCAGAGTGTTCTGAGGGTTCTAGGGTCCAGGGTTTCAGGTGCAGCGGCTTGAGATTAAATGGACAGAGTTGCGGTAGATGGATGGATAGATAGGTAGATACATAGACAGAGATAGAGAAGCTACATTAAGTGCAATCTGTATACATACATACATATATATATATATATATGTATATATATATATATGTATATGTATATTAGAAGCGAATAAATGAAGATATGAATGAATTGAAAGAAATGTTTAAACAACTACATAAACGAATAAGCAAACAGTATTAGACACTCAACTACATCTATATGTATATCTACCAACACACACACACACACACATATATATATATATACATACATACATACACGTGCATGTATATACCGATGTATGCACAGACACATACATTCTATATATGCGGGCGTATGGACATATGTATGTATCTGTGAACATATACATCTATGTATGAACACAAACACATACACATGTATGTATGAATGTGTATTACATATATATATATATACATACATAAATATATATATATATATATATATATATATATATGTATATATGTATATATACATATGTATGTATGTACGTATGAGCATATGCAATTGGACGGGGGTTCGGCTTTGCGGAGCAACGGTGACAGCAGTACCCGCTTGCTGCTTGAACGAGAAAACGAGGACACTCCCCTTTGGGAGCTTTGTCCAGGCCAAAGTGAGCAAATCGAGAGCCCATCTCGAAAAGTACCGCGGCACTGGAATTGTTCGCGTGGTGTACTTTGGCACAGTCCATGCGAGGGGCGGCGGTATACACGGAGTTCCGGTGGGTGGCCGAGAGGTCGACATCTTTCCTCTGCTAGGTGTCCTCGAGGTGACGATGTCTATGACGTCGAAACTGTCGAGGGTTTGGCGGTCGAAAACCCTTGCATTCAGGATGGACGACCCTGAACGTCCTATTCTTTTGAAACTCGCTGAGGGGGTAGGTGATGAACCTATACCCCACATGGGGCTGAACAACTAGCAATAAATGCTATTGCTCAGCATAGAGCTTGCCACAACCCGAATCTAACTATTCAGCCCACTAATAATCCAACAGCCCAACTCAACTCCCCGAAAAGCCTGGGCTTAAAACCCCCTACGCCTCAGCTCCGACTCACCACAAAAAGAAGAGCGAACCCCAAGCCCCCCGAACCCCTTAAACCTTAGAGCCTTTATGCGACCCTACAAGCCCCTTCAAGCCTTCATAAGAACTCCCGGATCCCTTCTCGCACCTCCTCGAAGCCTTAAAGAAACCTGAACTCTAGACCCCCAAATCCTAAGGCCTAAAAGCGTAAATCTTAAGCCCCAAGCCCTATAAACCCTATAGGCCCTAAATCCCTGAACCCTAAACCCCTAAACCCTAAACCACTAAGCCTAAACCACTAACCCCTAAACTCTAAACTGTGTCTCAGAGGCCTCGAGAACCTCCCGGGCTACAACCGCCGCCCTCTGCCGCCTCTTGGACTTTTTCGAAGGGTTTAGGCCTTAGGGTTTCGAAGTTTAGGGTTTTAGGGCTTCAAAGCTTAGGGATTTCGGGGTTCAGGGGTTTAGGATTTAGGGGTTTATGGTTTCGAAGTTTAGGGTTGGGGTTTCAAGCTTTACGGGTTTTGGGGTTCAGGGGATTAGGGGTTTAGGAGCTAAGGGTTTATTAGGGATAAGGGGTTTACTTTTTTCGGTGTGGGGGTTTAGCTTTTCAGGGTTTAAGGGCTCGGGGAGTTGCGGGTTGAGGGTTTTCCTGACGGGTGTAGGTGCGTAAGGTCTGTATGTCGGGGCAGAGGGTCTAGGGCTTTTGGGCATTGATGTAAGGGCTTCAGGGCGTGAGGGTTTTCGGATTCAGCGTCTTTGGGGTCTTTAGCGAGCTTTAGTTTGCAGGGTGTAGGGTTTCGGGCAGTTTTCTTTAGAGCTTTTCTTGCATGTGCTTACGGGCTTATATGTTAGAGCACTAGTTCAGGTTCAGAGCTCGTGTCTAGTTTGTAGGTGTTCCATTTGGGGGGGGGGTGCAGGCTCTTGGGTTTGTATGAAGCAGTTTACTAGCTTAATGGGTTCCGGGTATATAATTATTGGTGTTTAGCTTGAGATAACTGGGATACAAGTCGAAGCCGAAGCGTCAGAGACTGGGCTTCGGGCTCTGTCTTTATCAACTCCAGGGGTTTGACGGCTTCGAGTTTGATGATGGGCGCTTTTGGAATTTTTGTGGCCTACTTGGTTCCGCCTTTGGAGCCCGGATGCACCCTGGATCCCTCAATCCCAAGCTGAAAACACCTAAGCTCTCCAATTTACACGCTGCGAGGGACGCGCGAAGTATGTCTTGTGTGTGTGTGTGTGTGTGTTGCAGAATCTTGGGAGGTTCAGGATGATTGGGCTTTAGATGTTCAGGTTGTCGGGGTAGGTTTAGGAGCTTAGGGTCCTTTAAGTCAACGGTTTGGGGCGTAGGGCTTCTTAGATGGCTGAGTTCTGAAATATGTCAAGGATGTCGCAAAGAGCAGACGGAAGTACGGGTTATTAGTACAATTCTAGTAAGGGTTTGTTAAGGACGCGAGATAGGACGGGACAAAACCAAACCCTAAACCCTTAACCTTAAGCCCTAACCGGGACCAAACCAAACCCTAAACTCTTAACCCTAAACCCCAAACCCTAAACCCTATAAACCCTAAACCCTAAACCCTATAAAATCATATAAAATCTAACCCTAAGCCCTTAACCCTAAGCCCTAAGCCCTAAACTAAACCAAGCCCTCAAGCGGTAGAAGAGACCCGTTTCATGTCGCAGGTCGGACAATGTCACCTACGACCTGAGCAGCTTGACTTTAAAGGGAACTCCAGAAAGTTGGAAGATGGTTTCAGGGTAGGATACCCGATAATTTACCATAAAGGGTTTAGGAAAATCATATTCCAACTTTCTGGCTTCTACTGTAGGGTTTAGGGCCAGGGTTTGGGGCTGAGGCTCCAGGTTTCGGGTTTCGGGTCGGGTTTCGGGCTTAGGATTCGGGGTTCGAGTTATTTGAGTTAGGGTTTAGGGTCTAGCGTTTAGGGTTGGGGGTTTAACGCCCCGAATCGTGGTGGAGGCACCTACCGGAGAAGGGCTTGAGCGACCCCTGAGCTCCAAATACTTCTCATGTCTGCAAGCCTCCCGCTGGAGCTCATTGTGCCGTTTTTGGTTTCGACTGCCATGCTATGTAGAGTGTTTAGCAAAATAGGGTTTGGGGTTTAGGGTTTGGGTTTTTAGGGTTTTTGGGGGTCTAGGGTCGTGCTTCGTCGGTTAAATAATTTTCTTATTATAGGACCTGAGCCGAACGATGGAATGGGCCTTCCAAAAAGGCAACCACAGTCTAGGTTCATAGGTATTGTTGGTTTTGAGAAGGGCTTTGAAGAAGCCTAAATCTTACATGCCTCCAACACCCGATAAACAAAATGGTGCTCCGAGATACATCTTGAACAGCCCTGTAAGTCTTCACCGAATGCCTACCCGACTTTCAAGCCATCTTGATTCAACGATTCACCGTGGGTGTCAAGGTTGCGCATCGCGGGCCGGGTTCAAATTTTCGGATCTTTAAGAAGCTCTTGGGCCTCAGGGCTTCAGGGTGTAGGGATTTAAAGTTTGGGTTTTAGGGTTTGGGGGGCTGGGGAGCCCTACCTGCCTGTACCCTTAGCTGGCCCGAAGTAAACCCCAGACCTAAATCCTAAGCCCCAAGTCGTAAACCCCCAGGCCTAAACTGACAACCCGAAGCCCTCCAATACCTCCTCCCCACAAATGCCCACGATTAAGGACCATAATGGCTCTACTACAGGGCCCTTAAACTTTAAGGGCCCCCTAAACCCTAAACCCTAAAACCCTAAAGCCTAAAGTCCAAAGCCTTAACCCTAAACCCTAAACCCTAAACCCTAAACCCTAAAACCCCAAAACCCCTAAAACCCTAAAGCCTTAAAGGGTTCTGGACCCCTCTCTCCCAGGAGGGGATGCTGTGCCCGTCGTGAACTCGCAGGCGGGAGCCCCAAAGCCCAAACTGGCAGCAACAAGACGTCTGTGAGGGCTTCTTAGGGGTACTTAGAAATAGGGTTTAGGGTTTAGGGTGAAATACTTTGTAATTTTTGGTGATTATAATCCCTAAGAAACAGCTAAAATTGTCATTTTTGCTAGGGTTCTAAGTTCAGTATAGGATTCCATAAGAGCTCTAAAAGGGTTCTACAGCGGCGTTACAGTTCAAGCATGTCTAAACCCCAAAACCTTCCTCAAGCCCCAAACCCGGGGGGGTTATAACAATTTGCATGTGGGGTTGCGGGCCTCGTGTGCGAGGATCCTCAGTGCCCCCTGAAACAACCCAGAGACTCCAATATCCCTTAATTAGGGAATATACCTTAAATCATATTAAGGATCCTACTATAATTTAAGGTATATTCCTCAATCAAGGGATATTGGAGTCTCTGGGAAGCTTTTGAAGGCTGAGTCCCAAGACCCGACACCCGAAACGCTGATGTAGACAGTTTAGAGTTTAGGGGTTTGGGGATTCATTTAGGGTTTAGACTCCTTCCGGTGGCTGCAAGGAGCGGAAGCTTACGGCAAGAGGTCCAGTCTGGGCTTGGGAGTTTCAAAGCAGGCCTTTACCACTCGACCTCAAACCGGGCAAGGCCCGAGGTCTTCCAAACTGTTTGATATGAATCGTTTCAAAAGCTGACAGGGGAATCTGATCAAGAAACCTAGGGTCGTATAAGGCTTCTTTCGATGGATCAGGGTTTAGGGTTCAGGGGTTTAGGGTTTAGGGTTTTAATACGACTATTTTGGGGATATAGGACATTCAGGTTCCGAAATAAATGAGACCCCAGCTCCGCTCCTTCACTCGAGAGCTGCAGCCTGTAATAAAGGAGCGTAAACAGTTGCCAATACTATTTTGGGGGTTCCTTACTATACTCATAATATGATGGGCCCCGAAACCCTATTCCAATTAATAAGGCCACTATACTCTCCCCTAAGCTCCTGAACCCAACTCCAACAGTTCCGAAATCCCACAGACCCCCCACATCGTTTGAATGATCACTGGGGCTTTAGCGATCAGCCAGAGTCCAGCAACTAGGGTCGTAAATAGGGTAGTTATACTTCGAACTGCATTTTAAAACTTCCACCGAACTAACATATCTAGCTTCTGCCCTATGTCCTGTGCTTCTCCCAAAAATTGTCGTGACGAGTTCTTGCAAAGCCCCGGTAAACTTGCATCACAATAGAACCAATGTCGATGCCACAAAAATTAAGTCCCCCCTAAACCTTAAAGCGCCAATCAGCACCAAACCCAAAACCCCAAAGAGCCTAAAACCCTTGAACCCTCAACCCTAAACCCTCGGCCCTGAACCCCCCCAAACCCTTAACCTCCGAAACCTTGAACCCTCTGAACCCTAGCTCCTAAATCCTAGACACTAAACCCCAAAAACCTATAAATTAAGCTCGCCTCACAAGGCTTTTGGTACACTTCATGCGGACCCAAAAAGGAGCCTTTAAACAAAAGAGACCCAGAGACTCCAATATCCCTTAATTAGGGAATATACCTTAAATCATATTAAGGATCCTACGATAATTTAAGGTATATTCCTTAATTAAGGGACATTGGAGTCTCTGGGGAACCTATAAGGGAGTTTCCGAAAATAGGGGGTACCATATTTTGGGGTCCTTATACTAAGGATCCTTCTATTTAGGGCACCATATTAGGGTCCCCTATTTTTCGGAAACTCCTATAAAGCCCTTCATCTGATCCTCCAAGCAGGGCAAGGTCATCGATGGAGCCGACCTCACGGTTCGCAGGAGACTCTGCTTGAGGGTTTGGGGTTTAGTAGGGTTTAGTAGGGTTCAGTAGGGTTTAGTAGGGTTTAGTAGGGTTTAGCAGGGTTGAGGAGGGTTTAGTAGGGTTTAGTAGGGTTTAGTAGGGTTTAGTAGGGTTTAGTAGGGTTCAGTAGGGTTTAGTAGGGTTTAGTAGGGTTTAGTAGGGTCTAGTAGGGTCTAGTAGTGTTTGGGGTGGGGGTTTAGGGTTTAGTAGGGTTTAGTAGGGTTTAGTAGGGTTTAGTAGGGTTTGGGGTGAGGGTTTAGGGATTAGGGTTTGGGGGGTTGAGGGGTTAGCGGTTAGGGTTTGGGGGTTTAGGGTTTAGGGCTTTAGGGGTTATTAAGGGTTTGGGGTTCAAGGGTTCCTGTAAGGGCTCTAGAAGGATACTTTAGGGCCTGCTTTAGTGGTTTAGGGTCGTGGAGTTGTGGGTGTTTTGTTAAGGGTCTGGGTTTAGGGCATAGGCTTTATGGGTTGCCATAGTAGGGACATTGCATTCAGGTATTCGGTTGCTTAAGCTAAGTTCCTTGTCACCGTAGGGTTAGAGCCTCAACCAGGACCGATCTGGGTAACGTGACTGGGGAGCAGAACTGGGCGGTGTCGTGCCAAGACAACTTTGCCCACTTGGCCTGCAAGGAGCAGTTCCGGCTGTTCAGGGTTTAGGGTCTCTTGGCTCTGGAGTACCATAAAAGGAACCATTACGAAACAAACGTTTACACCTTTTTTCTCCATGGTTACTTAAAAAGCCCAGGTCTAGGGTTTAGGGTTCAGGGTTGCGTAAGGGTGTAAAGAGGGTTCTCTAAGAGTTGACCTTAAACATCCTGCTCGGCGGCCCCCACCGCGGGAGCCACTGCACTTATGTCACAAAAAGGGAGTTTCCGAAAATAGGGGACCCAAATAAAATACCCTAAATAGTAGGATCCTTATTATAAGGACCCCAAAAAAGGCACCCCCCATTTTCGGAAACTCCCATGTCACAAATCAGAGCTCACAAATCAGAGCGACATGTCAAGTGCCAAGGTCGACACCCAATCGCATGGCTTGAATCCTACGGTTGATGATATAAGTCCTGCATTACCCATAATAAGGAATATACCATAATTCCCATAGTGTAGGGTCCTTAAGGTAATGCAAGATTTATATCATTCAACAGTACCTTGATGGTTAGGGCGTGGGGTGTAGCGCTTTGGGTTCAGGTCTTGGTTTGGAGGCATAGCCATTATCGTAAAGCCTCAGGGGCCAGAGACTTCATCCTACAGTAGAAGCCAGAAAGTTGGAATATCATTATCGTAAACCCTTTATGGTAAATTATAGGGTATCCTACCCTGAAACCATATTCCAACTTTCTGGAGTTCCCTTTAATGCTAATCTAGGTGAGCCCTCTTAGTCATGCGCGTCCCGAGGTCATGTTCCAGTCGCTGCAGACTCTTGCAAGCAATGGGCATTCGGTTTCGGGTTAGGGCTTGGGTTTATTGCATGACTTGGGGAGTTCCTTGTCTCGGGGGGGTCTTCAATCCCAGCAGTCCTCTACGCATGAAGGCAGCCAGGGCAAGATTCTAAGCCTAAACCCTAAACTTAAACCCAACTCAAACCCTCTAAACCCTAAGCTCTAAACTTCAACCCTCTATCCCCGAAGCCGTAGCATTCCTCTTTCATGCTTCAATAGACCGAGGGCCGCCCCTCTGGTACTGAATCTCAGAAAGTTGGAGTAACATGGGCTTAGGATGATCAGTGCTCGGATCCCCTATATCTTGCCTGAAGGGCATGAGGAGAATGATGTTCCAACTTTCTGGCTTTCCAACCTTCTGGCTTCTACTATGGTTGATGATATAAATCCTGCATTACCTTAAGGGCCCTAAACTATGGGAATTATGGTATATTCCTTATTATGAGTAATGCAGGATTTATATCATCAACAGTATGAACCTGAACTTCCTGGGCCCTAAGCCCTAAACCTTCTGGGTTCGACGTCGGCCGTGGGGTCACGGGCTCACGGTTCCTTGGCTTTATCAAACCGCTGATGCCCAGGGTGCCGGACAATTTCTACAGCCTGTCGATGGAAGGCCCGAAAGGTTTAGGGCTTCGGGGTTTTTAGGGTTTAGTGTGTAGGGGTTTAGGGTTTAGGGGTTTTTAGGGTCCAGGGGTTTAGGTTAGCGGTTTTTAGCATCTAGGGGTTTAGGGTGTAGGGTTTAGGGGTTTTGAGTGTTTAGGGGTTTAAAGGGTTTAGGGGTTAGGGCCCGGAGCCTCCCCATGAACCCGAAGCCCAAACCCCCGAGCCTTAATCCCGAAGCCCTAAGCCCTAAAACCCTAAACCTTGCTAAGCCCGTAAAACCCTAAAGCCCTACATAAGCCCTACTAAACCCTGAAACTCAATACCTTCAACCCTTAAGCCCTAAACCATCAAAAGCCGATTGCGCTGCGAGGTTCCTCACCTTCCGGGCCGGCTGGCGCCCAGCAGCTTGGCATTCCAAGAATAGAAAGTTAGGGTTTAGGGTTTAGGGTTTAGGGGGTATAAAGTTGAAAGCAGCCCTGAAAAGGAACCCCGAAAAAAACCCTCAAAGGAGCCCTCAAGGGCTCTTTGAGGGATCTACAGGGTTTTAGACTCCTTATGTCAAGGTTTTAGAGTGAAAGCAGGTTCCCAAGCCTTTTTTCAGGTGTCGACAAAAACATATGTATATATATATATATATATGACATATAACATACATATATATATATATAGATTCAGCAGAGGTGTACAAGTGGTTGGAGGGTTTTACCTAAAGTAAGTAGGTGTCGTATGTGTTTTTTCAATGTGGTTGCTGTAGGCAATATGATGGGGTCTACAGATGTTTACAGGGGATATGATGGAGGCCTGAATACTTGACACGGTTTAGGGTGTAGGGTTTAGGGAACTTGAATAGAGTAAATATATAGGGGCCTTGAGAATTGGAATATGGCGTTGGGTAAAGGCCGTGCATTAGAATGATATGAAGGCGTCCCAAGGGACAACATTGTTAATTATTTATGCCTCGGCAGTACCGATGTTTTTGCATGGGGTTCCTCATTAATACCATGGTGTGCTGTCAGTCATTACTCTGGCTCAGGGCTCATTAGAGGCTTAGTTGTTGTTTGGTTTCGGTTTGTTGTTCGATTTCGGGGGGTTGGTCTGCTGAAGGTTTCCGTACTGTTGATGATATAAATCTTGCATTACCTTAAGGACCCTAAACTCAGGGAATTATAGCATATTCCTTATTTTGGGGTAATGCAGGGTTTATATCATCCACCGTAGTGGGTTTGGCTGCTTGCTCCGGCCCTGGATTTTCAGAGGATGGGTTTTCTCACTGGGGTTTGGGAGTCAGGCTGTGCTACACACCATTATAGGATCCTTAAGGGAGGATGGTTCAAGGGGGGAGGGTATAAGGAATCCTTAGGGGACTGTAAGGGGACCTTAGAGAGTACTAGGGAGGATTAGGGATCACTAGGCTATATACCCCCCTTGGACCCCCCTCCCTTAAGGATGCTACACACCAGCAGCCGGCGGGTGGAAATGGAAGCTTGAACCCTAAAGCCTAAGCATATCTGCGAGTTGGAAAAGAGGCGTTAAACACGGAAAAACCTAAACCCCTAAACCCCAAACCCCCAAACGACTAAACCCTAAACCTGCCTGAACTTCAGACTTACTACTCCTTGGCTTCAGAGCAGACAGAAGCGAGACCCAATACACAGCTCACAAGTTTGAGGGAATATGCCGTGTAGCCGCGTCATGATCTAAGCGCATACTATAGTCGGGCCTTAAGAATCACCCATATATACTATTTCGGGGGATCCGTATAATGAGTAGTGTATGTGGCCCCCAAAACCCAATTCTAATTATTAAGGCCCCTGTAGTATTTGCTTACAGATCATGTCGGGGGACCTCTAATCCAAGGGTAAAAAGAGGGACCCTTAATAAGGACCCCTAGGTATATACCCTTAATATAGCTATTATAAACCCATTATATAGCCCATTATAGGGTAGGGGTCCCCATTCAGGTTCCCTCCTTTTCCCCTACTAAGCCCTAAACCATTATAGATCTCTTTAAAGGAACCCTAAGAGCCCTAAATTAAGGGTCCCTCCTTTTCCCCTTTGATCTAAGTATTCTAAAGCTAAACCTGGAAGGCCTTAGGACCTAGCCCCGACATCCGAAGCCCCAGCTTAAACCCTAAGCCCTGACCCCTAACCCCTGAACTCTAGCCCCTAGGGCAGAAATATGCAGCCCTAAATCAGGGCACCCTAAGTTTAGAAACCGTACATGAAGTAGGGCTTGTGTTGGGGTTATGATGAATCCATTTGGGGGTCGTTGGGAAGTCTGGGGTAGGTGTGTATATCTTGGCCGTTGTCATGGGGATGCAGGTAACACATTCCTGCGTCGACGCCAAAGCCCGAAAGCCCTAAACCCTAAACCCTAAACCGGGAAAGCTCTACACAGCCGCCCAGGTGGGAGTTTGAGGGTCGCGTGTACTGTGTCCCCTGGAAGCGCATTCTTGCCCTTTTTTGCGTTTAGGGTTTAGGTTTTAGGGTTTAGGGTTTAGGGTTTAAGTGCTGTTAGTTTTATGTTTGAAAGCTCAGCAAGTGTCACCGTTGCAGGGGTGCTCAGAGTGCTCATTCAGGGTTTTCTTTCGAGAGTGTGGTCTGGTCCCTTGCATGGTCCCATGAGTGTAGGTGTCATATGGGGGTTTCCGAAAATAGGGGGACCTTATTTTGGGGTCCTTATAATAAGGATCCTACTATTTAGGGTGCTATATTAGGGTCCCCTATTTTTGGAAACTCCCATATAGGTTTCAAGACGGCCTCATGAGCGAGATCAGCTAGAGTTCTTGTAGATGGTCTTCAGGTGTTAAGGGCTGTAGATGTGGGGTTTCAGTGGTTCGTGGTTGCGGGGCCACGGTTTTACCAACGGATCATGGAACTGCGTAGCGACGTATAGCACCAAATGAGGTACTTGTAAACTGACTTACTACGTCCTCTGACCCGCCAAGTGAGATGACAGTTCAAGTCTCAAGAATTAGGTTAGGATTTTGGGCAAGCCCCAAACCCTAAACCCAAGCCCTAAACCCTTTATCCCTGAACCTTAAGCCCTAAACCCCTTATCCCTAAACTCCCTATCCCCAAACCTTAAGCCCTAAACCCCAACCCTTCAGCCCGAAGGAATAGTAGCACCAGTTTTATTCATTGACTCAAACACCGAGGATCCGGCACAGCCGCAGGTCCGGTTCACGGCTTTAGGGTTCTTTAGGGCTTTAGGGATAAAGGGTTAATAGGGCTGAGGGTTTAGGGTTTTAGCGTGTAGAGTTTAGGGCTCGGGGTTCCAGGTTTAGGGTTTGGGGTTTGCCACAGATCGCCGTTCTCGCTTGGGCATGTGCATTCAATATTTTGTTTCGGCCTCGGAGTGCGATAGGTCGATGTTTAGGTATTTAGGTAGATAAGTAGGTAGACAGACAGGTAGATAGGTAGTTGATATGCATAGATAGATAAGCCGATAAATAGATAGATTGCTACGAATATATATATATATATATATATATATATAATATATATATATATATATACGTGTGTGTATATATATATATATATATATTCATACTTATATTTGTATTCAGAATATGTATATATATATATATATATATATATATATATATATATACACGTACATACATATACCGGTCGTGCGGGTGGAGAACCGTGAAGGCGGAAGCCGGGCTCCAAAAAAGGCTTAAAGTCTTTTGCCCCCCCCCCCCCCGGGAGGCCTCGTCTGGTTATTCAGGCCCCTGTATATTTACACTGAAACCTAAACTCCTTAGACCCCTGGAAGCTAAATCCATAGCAGGCCCCTTTAATTTCACTAAAACTTAGCCCGTAAACCCTGAACCCTACATCCATAGCCGAGGCTTACAACAACAACGGGGAGGTCTTCGAGGTCCTGATCGACACGGCAGAATTGCAGAACAACACTGTGATCACCGGATTCGTGCCCGAGTCTGTGTAGTGTCTTTCTAGGCTCTGGGGTTCAGGGTGCACCTTGGATTTCCGGGGGTTTCCCTGAACCCTAAACCAGAGACTTTAACCCCCAAAGATCTGCCATTTCTCAGTGGGGTTTCGTCGGGTTTTTTTGGGGTTGATCAGGGAGGCAACCCAAGATGGAGAAACCTCACAGTCCTTGAAGTAGGCTCCTACCAGGAAAGGAGCTTCAGAAGATAGGGAGCCCCTACTTCCTGCAGCCCTAACTCGTGTGAGTTATGAGGTCAATTCCGAAAGCACCTTATTCATAAGTACTGCTATTCCTTAGAGTTCCCCATTATGGCTATACTCTAATGCACCCCAAAATGAAACCCTAAATTCGGATCCTGCTATTATGCCGCTAAGCCCTCATCAAGCTTCCGGGCTTTAGGCTTCAGGAGTCGCTCTAGACTCTAGACAAGAAGCCGCATGCCGTGACTCCGGAGGTTCGCTTTTTGGGGTGTAGTTTATAGGCCTGCAGTCACCAGCGACCTTGAAATTCAGTCTGTATTGTCGTAATTAGGAATCGATGTGAGGATACGGTTGCCATGGACAACCAGTCGAGGAGCAGGACCAAGCAAAAACGGGCTTTCACGAAGAAGTGTCGCCACTTGCAGGCTCTGGTCATACTACTCGAATGTAGTCCCCATATTACTACATCATGATAAGCCCTGTTCCATAATGAAGGCAGGCGAGAACTTCCACAAAATCCAACCTCGCGAAGACGCTACTCTGTACGCCAACTATGCCACCAGTTCATGAGAGGTGCAAAATTCGGCAGAAGTGTCGTCCAATGACGGTCTAAACTGCCTCAGCGTTCCGACGCCTTTTGGTGAAGCTGCCGCGTGGATTTCATCTGGAGTTTCGGTGTTTTCATGGCCGTGCTTTTGCAGAAGTCTTACTTCATTTTTTAGAGTTCGGGCTATGGGTTGGGTCAATCTGCAGAGTTGTAAAAGGTGTTAAAGCGCAAATGCCAGGTTCCGCTCCTGTTGCAAAGCTCAGGCCGCACATAGATCAGCCTCTCTTTCCTACCATGTGGGAGTTTCCGAAAATAGGGGACCCTAATATAGGACCCTAAATAGTAGGATCCTTATTATAAGGACCCCTAAATAGGGTGCCCCTATTTTCGGAAACTCCCATGTCCCGGAGGTGAGTAGGTTTCACGGGACTCTCCGACAGCCGGGCTCTCCGGTTCTGAATCTCAGGTCACGACCACGACCACGACTTCGACTACCACGACTGCTCCAACCACCACAACCACTGAAGCCCCGACAACTACGACCACCGCCGCTCCAACAACCACTACAACGGTTGCTCCCGCAACCACCACTACCACCACCGCTGCTCCCACAACCACCACCACCACAGCTGCTCCCACGACCACGACTACACTCGCCCCCACGACCACGACCACCGCCGCTCCCACGACTACCACCACCACAGGTGCGCCCACGACTACGACAACCCTCGCCCCCACGACAACGACCACCGCTGCCCCTACGACAACGACCACCGCTGCCCCCACGACTACCACCACCACGGTTGCTCCCACGACTACGACTACCCTTGCCCCTACGACAACGACCACCGCTGCTCCCACGACTACCACCACAACAGTTGCTCCCACGACTACGACCACCCTCGCCCCTACGACAACGACCACCGCCGCTCCCACGACTACCACCACCACGGTTGCTCCCACGACTACGACTACCCTCGCCCCCACGACAACGACCACCGCCGCTCCCACGACTACGACAACAGCTGCTCCGTCAACCACAACCACTGCTATGCCAACGACCACTACTCCGGAAGCCACAACAACGGATGTGTCGACCTCAACTACCACGAGCCACTGGCCTAGATTTGGGTAAACTCTTGGCATACTTTCCGGAAACACGCTTCGTTTCTGGGCTGGCAGCCCCTGCGACCTCACTGGCATGAAAATCCCGGCTCCCTAAACCCGAAACCTGAAGCCCCTAAGCCCCACACCCTACAGACACCCAAAACCCGGAAGTCCGGAAGCCCTAAATCCTAAACTTAATCCCAAATCCTAGAATAATCCTGAACCACTACAGCCATAATTCCTAAAGCTGCTTTCAACCGTAGGCCGGTTCTGCTGAGCATAGTGGTTCTGTGACTGTAGGATTATTCCCTGCGGCTTCTTGGCTTTAAGGAGCTCTATAAGGGTTTGGGTTTAGGGTTGAGGATTAAGGATTCGGGGTTTGGGTGGAGTTCCGGTGTAGGGTTCTAGGGCCATGGGTCTCTTTATGTGCAATATTATTTCCGGAGGGTTTCTTTACAGGTTATGAGGGCATTACAGTATTGGGTAGGGGTGTATAATTCCCGAAGGGTGCTGCGTGTGTTCGATGAGGGTTTCGGGCTTGGGTGTAAGGAGCGTGCCTTCGACCCAGAGCTGCAGTAGTTCTTTCAATGTCTACGTTGATGGCCATGCAATGGTGATGATAATACTGTTGTTCTGTTACTATCTAGGCTACTGGTACTGGTGCTGGTGTGGAGATGGCTGCTGATTACAGTACGCTTATGCTTAACGCTAGAGACCCTAGTAGTTGCGGATTGTGGGCCGTCTCACACTACCCTCCCAGAGTTGCACTTAAAGTCGCGAAACTCGGCTAAAGTCTGGCTGAGGCACTTCGGTTCAAACTACAGCGCCAGATGTTCCAACTACGACGACGATGACTGGACCGGACACCACGACCAAGAAGCCCTACTACAAGTACTACGGCAGGTGCGGCGAAACCCCTAAAGCCTTGCAGGAAAAGTCTGTTGTTGAATAGTTTCCCTAAGCCCTAAGCCCTAAACCCTGAATCCTAAACCCTAAACCCTAAATCCTAAACCCTAATTAAACCCTAAATCCTAAATCCTAAACCCTAAACCGTGAATCGCTATACGTAGCGGTGCAAGGCGAGGACAGGGTTGACTGAGCACTCGGCGTTTGAGACTACTGGTGAATCATGCGGGTGGTTGTCAAAATTAAGGTCCGTTTTTGGGTACCCTAATTATTAGGTGCCGGACTATAATAAGGACCCAAAAAGGGACCCTAATTTTGACAACCACCCATGCTCGTATTGATGCCCTACCTTAACCTTGAAGGAGCTACCTTTTTACAGACTTATACAAGGAAATCATAATAAGGAACCCTAAAAAGGTAGGTTATTCAGGCTTCAGGTACACCCTAAACCCTAAACTCCTAAACCGTAAACTCCTGAGCTCCTTCGCCCTAAACCGAAAAGAACGCCGCGGTTTATTTAGGCGGAAGTCGGTCCGGCTACGGTTGGGCGCAGAATACTGTCGGATTGAATTCACAATGGTGCCTGGGGTTTAGGGTTCAAGGTTTAAAGAGTATAGGGTTTAAAGAGTTTAGGGTTTAGAGTTTAGGGCGTGGTTGAAGGGTTCGGGGTTTAAAGGGTTTAGGGTTTAGAGTTTAGAGTGTGGACAACCTCTGACGGCTCCGCTCGGGGCGAAACATATAGGAGCCTTAATGATTGCCTATACTATTTGGGGGGTTCCTTGTTACAATTATAGTACAATGGGCCCCCAAACCCTATTCTGATTATATCATGCCACCCAAAACCCTGTTTCAACTGGTAAAGGTCACTGTCTGTGTTGTGGGTGGTAGAGGGGGGGTGGAGTTTGGTGGCATGAGGCATGGCTAGGTTAAGGGGTTTTGGGGTGAGGGAGCTTTCGGGCTCTCGAAATGCAGTGTTTGGCCTTTCAATGTTTAAGGGTTTAGGGTGTAGGGTTTAGGGGTGTTTCTGGCATAGTAGCACCTAGAGCCAATGTCTATTGCCCATGCAAATTGAATCACCCTCCCCTGCACCTTCATGTGCTTGCCCCAAAATTCGAATCTGAAACTCTACACCAACAAACTGACATCCTAAACCGCTACCTGTCAACACCGGCATTCACCGTGCTGCTCACCGGAGGCACCACCGTCATCGTTGCGCAAGATGGTGCCCAAGAGACAAGAAACTTTGGAGCTGGCTTTTTGTTTTTATCAAAGCCTCTATATGGGAGTTTCAGAAAATGCGGGGTTACAGTACCTTGTTTTGGGGTTCTTATAATAAGGATCCAACTATTTATTAGGGTCCCCAATTTTCGGAGTTTCCTATATGAGGCCCGATTAATGCCCTTTGCGAAAACCCGCATCGTATCCCTTTCTTGGAAGACCTCAAGAGGCACTACGGTTTAGGGTTTAGGGTTAAGTGACATCGGGGCCGAAAGAAGCACCAATGGTACTCTTTGGTTCCTGAGTATTTATACTTGTACTACAAAGGAGCCCAAAATCCTATTCTAAAGATGAAGGCCTCTATATTATAGATCCCTATTATAGATCCGTTATAGAATCTTTTAAAGAACCCCTTAAAAGGAACCCTGCTTGAATTATTAGGGCCCCTTTACCGGGGCCTCCCATCCCAGAGCCTCCAAAACCCCTTATTGAAGGAATATACCTTAAATTATAATAGGATCCCTTATATGATTTAAGGTATATTCCTTAATTAAGGGATATTGGAGTCTCTGGGGAACCTATAAAGCCATATAAGGGGATCCTATTATAATTTAAGGTATATTCCTTAATTAAGGGGTTTTGGAGGCTCTGGGATGGCCAAGGTGCAAGTGGCAACCGCCTGAGACTTGGAAGCTGAACCCCCTCTGCCGGGGGTGCAAGAAAGGCGGTGGCCCGAAGCTCGCCGGAAAAGTTTGGGGTTCAGGGTTTAGGATTTAGGGTCTTAGGGTTTAGGGTTTAGGGGTTTAGGGTTTAGGGTCTACTTTCACCCGAAGCTGGCCGGAATAGTAGCTGTCTTTGGGACGGGATTTGCGGCGTGTCGAGGGCTCGACGGAAGATGAAACATGGCCCCCAGATCCAAGCCGTGGCTTTAACCTCTACGAAGCTAATTTAATTTGTAGCAACCTGATTAAGAAACCCTGGGCCTATAGCCCCCCTGAATAGTACCGTAGGACACACACATTCAGAACCCAAATAAAGACCCAAGGTTTCTTTATCAGGTTCCTACATGGATCCGGATTTCTGATCCTCGGCGACCTAAACCGCGAACTCGTAGGGCTCTTAGCCTCAAGCCGGAAGCCAAAAGCCGAAAGCCGACAACTGCGGAATTTCGTCATGTAGAGTTTGGATAATATTATTTACGAGTAGAGTCCCTTGAGAGGTCCTCATTCAGTAGACGATAATAGTATACCGCCCAAACCCAAGTCTTAGTAGTACGACAACAAACTTCGACCTCTATAAAGAAAGCCCGGACGCAGCGTGGTTTCAATGTTGGAAGATGTCTTCCTCAGAGTCTGTCACGTCAGTACTGGGGCTTGTAGGGATTCTATGGTGTATTAATGGTTGGGGGTTTGGAAGTCTTTTTCATAAGGCTGTACGGTGTCATGGTATTTGTGGCTTTAGGATTTGAGGGTCGTGAAGTTTTGTAAGGCTTGAGACTATATTTCGGAAGAGTGTTTGTGAGAGATGGGCGTGGTGCACTATCAGGAGTATTTGAGAGTTTCCGAAACCTTATCGTGGGGTCCTTATAGCAAGGATCCTATATTCCGGTTCCCCATTTTCGGAAACTCCCATTTGGGTATCTCTTGACGTCGAATAGACCAGCTTTTGGATTGCAGTGCCAATGCTGAGATTCGCTCCAAGCGACTGAAATACCTTAGAAGGGGCCTCCACCCTGTAGTAGTGACTATCAGGATTATATTAGGGCCCTATTATATTCCTAGTATACCACCATAACAGGGGTGGGGGCCCCTTCTAAGAAATACCCAAAGCCCCAAGCCCGAAACCTCTCAATGACTCCAGCCCTCAAGCACGTCGTCGACTTCATTCCCTGACATCCCGATCTTTTACACCTAAAGGCTTCGAGCCAAGGGTCCTCGAAGCTTGAAACCCTGAAAGCTGCAAGCCTTGAAAAAAAATCCGCGAGCCGGTCCCCGGTTTGAGGGTTTCAGGAGTTTCACGGTTCTGGGTGCTAAACCCTCAACCCTGAACCCTAAACCCAAAACCCTAAATCCTAATTAGGGTCTTTTCGATGTGTCTCGGGGCTTGAGGGTGTGAGGGGTGTTCGAAGACGAAGTCGAGGCCTTCTAGAAGGGGCCAATCTTAGGGGAATTAGTAAAGGGGCCGGGAAAAATGACCAATGCTATTTTGAGGGTTCCCTCTCATAACTATAGTATAAGGGGCCCCAAAACCCTATTCTGATTTTCTAAGGCCCCTATATCATAGAACCTTATTATGGATCCCTTATAGAACCCTAGAAGGAGCCTTACTCTAACTAGAAGGCCCCTCATTTTATTGCAGTGACGAAGTTTGGGACTGCAAGTTTGTGGTTTTGAGCTTGGGGGGCCTCCCAGCCTCATGCGCATATGAAGTCGAAGTAGAGTTTACATGATAATCATAAAGGGGATTCGGTGAGTGAGGCTAGGGCTCCCTGGAGATGTTATTCCAGAAGGACCCTTAGGGGGGTGGGGGGGAGGGGGTTAAACCTATAATAAGGACTTAATACTTAATAAGGCTTATTGGAGGAAGTATAGTCCCTATGATTATTGAAACGTTGGTGAGTGTCGTGTATATTTGGGATTTGGGGTGTTACTACGGGGGTATTCGCAATAAAGACGCACCTCATGTGCCAAGGAAATGACCATGGCGAGAGGCAGCTTGCACGCATGTTGGCACAGCAAAGCTGTGTTGTTCAGCCAAGTGTGAGGCCTACGATAGGGGGGTGAAGGGGTGGTTAAACGTTTTGAAGGGGTTACTGGGGCAATTCGCCCTTGGCACATCAGAAACCTACACCGCCTATGCCCATGACTTGCTCGCGTTCCTCTGGTACCCTAAGGCCCCAAGGCCCTAAACCCTAACCCCTAAATACTAAACCCTAAACCATAAGCCTCCTTACTCTTCCTGGTGAAGTAGCTTTTGGCTGCTGTGGGAGCTTGAAGGTTGGGCTTCAGAATCCCAGAGACCAAGGCCCACATCCTGAATAGCAACTACATACACAGGGACTAGTCTACGGGTCGGAATAATTGTCACTAGTATCTCCTGATATACTTTTCTCATTGGTTATGGCACAGAATGCCCTCCAAACCGTATTCTAGACATTGATCTCACTCTTGCCTCAGGCATTGGTTCTCTGAGCCCGCGAAGACTAGAACCCACATCCCACCCTCAACGTTTTGTGCCGGGTTCGAGCTTTAGGAGTTTCGGGTTTAGGGGCTTCGGGCAATTTGGGTGGTTTAGGGTTTGAGGGGCTTCCGTGGTCTATGATTCAGAGATGTTTGTGGCCTAGGGCTTTTTGAAGGGCCTGGGACATGGGTTTTGAGAGAAGTTTGGTGTGTAGGTTGCCGGTCCTGTCCCCAACGATACCCAGACCTTCCAAAATCCCTTAATTAATTAAGCAATATACCTCAAATCATATTCATATTAGGGACCCTATTATAATTTAAGGTGTAGTCCTTAATTAAGAGATTTTGGAAGGTCTGGATAAACCACCAGGACCCAGAGTAGGCCCTTATTCCCTTTTGTAGGGTTTAGGTTCCCTCATGACCCCCCTTAAAGCCACAAAGGGCACCCTTCTCATTCCTAGGTTACTCTTACGTCCAGACCAACAAGCGATGCCAGCTTGTGCTTGATAGTTTGAGTCACTTGTTCGAAAGTCTGTGCTCTACTTTCCTAGGGTAAAAGGAGGGACCCTTAACAAGGACCCCTAGGTAAATACCCTTAATATAGCTATTATATACCCATTATATAGACCATCATAGGGTAGGGGTCCCCATTAAGGGTCCCTCCTTTTCCCGTAAATACTTTTCTTGTGCCAGCCCCTCAACCCGAAACCCTAAGCCGCTCATACCCTAAACCCTAAACCCGAAACCCTAAGCCACTCGTGATAAAGCCGAAAGGCCCCACTTCCTAGTTGGATAATATTCTTAATATAGACACAGTAGGACCTTAACAGTAGCCCTATTTTGGATTGTTACTGTGTCGGGGCAGTACCCAAGCCTAACCCTCCTAATGCCTAAGCCCACGCTCCAGCAGCTGCAGTAAGCAGACTCCAACCGACCACTACCTCAAGGCCAAAAGCTTCCGGGGTTTAGGGTGTAGAGTTTAGGGTGTAGGGTGTAGGGTTTAAACCCTAAACCCGAAAACTGTCGGGAGGGCCTCGTTTTGGAGTTTTCCGTTTTGGGAAGGTTTGGGTTTTTGTAGCAGTTGCACAGGGGAGCCCCGAAAAAGAGCCTGTTCTTGTGCTGTTCCTTCCTAACAGGCCCCAGTAAGGGTTTTATAAGGTTTAGGAAGTTTTTGATAGTGGAGTTTGGGGCTCAGTATTTTCGTGGGTTTGTTGGGCTGAGGGTGTAGGGCTTTCTGGGTTCAGGGTTGTTCTTATGTGTGCACACTCGACAAAGCCAGTACTACACGGTTATATACACGCATGAGTTTACTTGGAGGATCATGGGACTTAGTAAGTAGGGTTATAAGTACCTTAATTGGGGTCTTAAGCAATTATAAGTACAGTTACATTAAGTGTAACCCTAGTGACTAAGTCCCATGATCCTTTAAGTAGATTTATCAACCCAGGAGACGATTCCGCCACGCATGCCGCCATCGACGCTGGCGCCGACGAAGGCGTGCTGGCGAGCATGGGCAGCGAGCCGTAGCTTTCAACAGAAGCCCGTAATCCTCTACGAAAGCCGATGATATTGGGGCCTTCATAATTACAATAGGATTTGGGGCCCCTGAACCCTAAACCCTATACCCTGCGCCCTGAACTCTGAACCATGAACCCTAAACACGGAACCCCAAGCCCTGAACCATGAACCCTGAGGCCATGAACCCGAAGCCCTCTTGAAGATTTCAAGCGTCTCCCGGGTGCTCGTAGAGAGTACGTAGTACCTTTTTCCAAAGCTTCATATGAAGTCTCCATTATGCGGCTTCTGGGTAAAATGTGAACCTACGAGTCTGAGTTTTCACTGCACCGGCGTGCCAAAGAAAGCGCTGGACAGCAAATCGTCCCTCCTGTGCAGCTTAATTCTTCTTTCGGTTTAGGGTTTAGAGTTTAGGGTTTAGTATTGATTTTTGCTTGGATTCGTAAGACTTGAGTTTGTCTTGAGAGTCAAGGTTTGGGGGTGGCTACGGGGATGTTGCAATGGGGTGGGGGGAGGGCGCTACCTTAGGGTTTTCGGCTCAGTATAGAGGCTAGGGTAGTTAGCAAAAAAACTCTTGTTTAGTCCCTATGTAAGCGGATCAGTAATTATGCCAATGTGCCCCATAGCCCTGTTCCAATTGCTACGGCAGCCCCTTGAGGGTTTAGGGTACTAAGGCCAGGCCCGGAATTCAGGACTGGACCTTAAAACCTACAATTTTTAGGGTGTTCTAGGGCTCGGGCAAAGTGGGTAAGGGCTACGTAGAATGACAGTAGAGTTTAGGGGTTTTAAGGGTTTTAGGGCTTTAGGGGTTTAGGGCTGTTGCAGACCAAAGGCTCCTTCGGAAGATTCAGGGTTGAGGGCTCTGGGCCTGGTGCATCGGAATTACGCTGCCGTGAGGAGACTGCATGGCATGTTTCAGCAACACAGGAGCCCAAAACGATCCAAACCCCTTATGAAGAGCTAGAAACACCCTGGCGGTCCCCATACCAGTGTAATGTAATGCATTCTTTATACCCCTAATCTACTGATTCAGGACCCTATCTCAAGTTTTTGGAATTCTTCTCGGATGCCCTAAACCTAAGACCGTAATTTCATGCTGCACGTATCGTGAAGTCCCTAAGCAGCTCGAAGCCCCAAACCCTAGCCAGAGGGTTTACTGTGATCCGTGGCTCCGCCGCTGTTGGAGTTTCTCAAAAGAGAGGGCCCAATTCTTCGCCCTAGTGGTGGGCATAAACACCAGGACCCTAAACCCTACACCCTAAACCCTAAACCCGCTAGGGCTTTGGGTTTAGGCTGTAGTAGACCCAAATTCTCCATCAGACAGTCGGGACCCATGCACCCTAGACCCTTGGTCAGTTGGTTCTAACGCTTCCGAAGCCTAACCCCCCGGCCCTATACACTAAACTACCAAACCCTACTTTTTTTGTAGGTTCCTATTCTAAACCCTAATAGGGAGTTTATAGGGGCCCTACAAAAAAGTAGGTTTTGGTAGGTTAAGGTATACACTAAACCAAGGAGCCACAAACTTAACCTCGAGGCGAAAGAAATCTGCCTTCCCGAGATTTTGAGAAGCTCAGATGCAGTGTTGAAAAATAGACTCGGTTGTCCTTGTCCCCCCCCCCCCCAAGGCTCAAAGCAACATGACATCGAGGTCTGAACAATTCATGTAGGCCCCAAGATCGATCCCAATCTTCACGCTCCTTAAGGGGGGTATGAATCAAGGGTCTACATTAGTAACACGTACCCCTATTGAGTTGTATTGATGTACCCTGAAAACTCATTCTAGTTGTTCATGCCTTGTAGTAAAACCTTGCACAGCCTCACAAAACCCTGCAGCCCTGAGAGAACACTCGTAGAACCCTTATAAGCCTTTCCCTACTCTTGTAGTAACCATAAGCCTTAAACCCCTACACATACACATAATAAACTCTACTCCCTACTCTTGTAGCAACCGTAGTAAACCCTACACAAACACATAATAAACTCTACCCCCTACTCTTGTAGTAACCATAAACCTTAAAACCCTACACATACACATAGTAAACTCTACTCCCTACTCTTGTAGCAACCATAAACCTTAAACCCTACACATACACATAATAAACTCTACACCCTAAACCTTAAACTCTCAACCCTACGCGCTCAACCCTACCGAAAGCATGGTTTGCAGCCCTTGAAGCTCTACCAAAGGGGCCCTTTTTCTTTACCTATACTATACTGGGGGTACCTTAAATACGAGAAACGGTCCTATAAGGGTTACTATAAGGGATCTATACGGGTACTCTAATTTAGGGTTACTATAAGGGATCTATACGGGTACTCTAATTTAGGGGCCTGTTTTCTTTACCTATACGATGTTCGGGGTTCCTTCTTATACGTATCGTATAATGATGCATAATGCGCCCCACAACCTTATTCTACTTATTAAGGCCCCTATGTTATACTCATACCAAACAATATATGGGTAGTTCGCTAAACTTGGCACCCGTTCGGGGTGCCTGTTTCGAGCTGGACCCAAACAGGGCCCCTAATGTAGAGAACTACCTATATAGGGGTGGGAATGGTTAGCTAGTGTATTCCCTGCTGCTCCCTATACAGTTGTCTGGGTATACGAAGCATACGCCAAGAACGCCACTCGAATCATCAAGGCCCCTTCACCATAACCCTTGGAGCTCCAATCTCCTGAAGCCTTACTATACCCTTGAAAACTATAGGCCTCAAGCCCTGAAGCCTTAAAGCCCAAGTACCCTGAACACCCTAAGCTGAGTCCCAACCCTGAATGTTCAAATGTTAAAGCCATGAGCCCTGCAACACGGTCTTCGAAGAAGCAACAGCAAGAGCGACACAGCCACGCTCCAAAATGCCCACCCTAAACATCAATGCCCTAAATCCTAAACCGCCTAAACCCTAAACCCTACCCTAACCCCTAAACCCAAAAACCCCCAAACCCTAAACCCCTAAACCCTAAACCCTAAACCGCCGAAGCCCCAAGTACTCTACTTGG